AGCAGCCATTCGATAAAATGCATTGTTCATTAAAATGTCTCTGGTGTTTCCTTAATTATGTGTAACACCAATGAGGATCAGTAACACCAGTGACTCATATGGAGAGATAGAGAAGTGGACGCTTCTGTAGAATGACCCTTCTATATATTTGTATTTCTGCACTGGCTGTATTGTGCTGTACACTCGTGGTCATTCTGAGTTATTTGGAGCTGGTCATGCTCCAGTCTGCTGTTTTTAAGTCAGAGAGAGAGAGAGAGAGAGAGAGAGAGAGAGAGAGAGAGAGAGAGAGACATGCAGGTTGAGGGTGGGAGGTTTTACAGGCATGCAGGGTGAACTGTGTGCCCTCTGTATCGGCTCAGTGTTGATCTTAATTCGTCCTCCCTCTCTCCTTCACTCATCCCTGCCCTGTTCACTGCATTGCCCTGAATGCTGGTTAGTTTGTTTTGCCACAGCATGCAGCACGAGACTGGGGGGAAGGGAGGGGGGCGGTTTTTCCTACTCTACCTAATCTTGCCCAGCTGATTCTTGGCTCTGGACAGCGGCTGCAGAGCGATGAAGTCGTCACCTATAGCAACACGGTTGGAGTACATCTACAGAGCGAGAAGGGGTGAAACACACAGAGGGTCAGTAAGAGGGACAAAGACACGAGACAGAGAAATGCACACATACACACACAACAGGGCTGCACCACACAGACAAAACACCAGCACTGCAACTGTGTTATGACTTCCAACACACCAGAAATACCGGTGAATCAATAGTGCTGCATAGTTAAAGGGGAATTCCACTGTTTTTTTCAAAATTTCTGCTTAATCACATGGTTAAGATATAAACAAACTCATTCAGAGTGGTTTGGTGTGAAACGCTCCGTTCTAGAGAAACTTACTGAGTCAGAACTGTTCACAGTGGTGGTGATAGGGACCAGACGTCCACCTCTAAAAGCTCCCTCACAGAAAGTTACTACATGAAATGGTTATGAATTCACTGCCTGATGACTGAGACACTGAAGATTTTGGCCTGAAATTAAATCAATTCATAGTGAAGGGAAACATTCCCACTGTTCTGAGGCAAAATAGTCCCCAAAGAAAACTTATTATTTCAGATTTTAAACTATTTTCCATCATCAACATTCCATATAAACTCAGAAGACTCGTGTAGGTTCATTGGTGGTTCTGGATAGTAAATAAAATGTCTATATCTGTGTTGTAGTCATGGCGACCCCTGGTTCCTATCACCACCACTGTAAAGACATCTGAACCATTTTCGTTATTTGATTCCCTGATTCACTCAGACACTCATCTGGAGTTGTGATTGGCCAGGAGGCTCATTGCACAGCTCATTTGCATATTGCAGCTTTTTTATCAGTTTTGTAAAGGCCAATATATGGAAACGATCAACCATCAATATGTTGTGCAGCCCTAAAACCTGCACTCAAATGCACATTAAGACGTCATTTACAGACACACACACACACACACACACAAAAGACAAAGACAACACACTAAAATACACACACACACACACACACACACACACAGAGTAAACGAAAGTTCTCACTATGACAAAGACAGGAAACAGGAAACAAATAGAAGTCAGAGAGCAGATGCACGTCTAACTGTCTGCTGTCAGCTGCAGAACTGGCGCCTGCTCAGCTTCCAGAACCTTCATCTGCTGAGCTTCACGGCCTGAACAACTGCTAACTGCATCTCACTGAGCAGGAGACACACAGACTTACACAGACTGACCCCCTAAACTCTGTCGGCGGGTCTGGACTTCAGCTCCTCCCTCTGATAACTAGAGAACTCTAAAGTTATTTTCACAGCAGTTAAATATTTCATAGCAGTTGTGGTTCCTAAACAATTTGTAGTGGTTAATGTATGAATCATAAAGGATGCTGAATTATTAATAGTAGTTACTGAATAATTCATAGTGGTTTCAGAACAATTCATAGCAGAACTATTACAGGTTACTGAAACTTTCGTCGCAGTTACTGTATAATGAATGGTTGTTACGAAATAATTCAGGAGATCCTGAATAAATCATAGTAAATACTGAATAATTCACAGTAGATACTGAATAATTCATAGTAGACACTGAATAATTCATAGTAGACACTGAATAATTCATAGTAGACACTGAATAATTCATAGTAGATACTGAATAATTCATAGTAGATACTGAATAATTCATAGTAGTTACTGAATAATTCATAGTAAATATTGAATAATTCATAGTAGTTACTGAATAATTCATAGCGGTTAATAATTAATAGCAGACACTAAATCATTCATAGTTAATACAGAACCTGGTGGTGACTGAATAATAAGCCTTAAGATTAATACCGAGACTAAGTTTCTGCACCCCAGTCGGGAACTGCTGCAACTCCACCACTCAATCACCCAATATATTCCTTTAAAATACTCCCTCTCTGTAAACTCCAAGCCTGTCCCTGGTCAGCAACTCTGACCGTTCCTGAGTATCTCACAGCCAAGACAGACTGAATACAATGCTAAAGTTCAGGACCATGAGTCAGTTCCTCTTCAGCTCGAGGTTTAGGTATATTCTCAGGAAGAGAGCAGCATCGCTACTCATAGAACAACAACATCTATCTGCACCACATCTTAATCAGAAGCATTGTGGGAAACCACTGCTCTTCTTCTAGTGATGAACCATGTGCCTTTAGTGGTCTGATAGGGGTGGGGATATTCAGATTCGTCAGGAGATGCAGTTCAGAGTGTCCAGATGCGTTTATTAAACAACTGTTTGTGCATCTTCAGCTTTCATTTCTAAAGGATTCGGACTTTATATTATGATGTTTCCCCGTCTACCTTCATAAGTGATGGAGCTAGCTCAATTTAAATGTAGCCAACACACTTCAGTCTACAGCCATCTGACTTTAATAACATTTTTAAATGTAGGTAAAACTGTAGATAAAATATAGACATTAACTCTTTGTTGACTAATATGTCAAATGTTTATTAATGGTAAACTTTCATTTGCAAGCACACTTAAAATATATTTTTGTGAACTGGTCATAATTATTTGAATGCACACCAACCAAACCTGAGTTCTGCGATTTTACAGTAACTCACAATACAATTTACAATAACAATGTTTTCTTAAATTAGAGTGTTTTTTGAAAGTATGGTTATTAAGAATTAATAAGTTTCACTTTAGTTACGGTCTTGCAAATCAGCAATTAAGATCTTTTAAATGTAGCTATTTCTTTGGACACTATTTCCAGGTCAGCATTTAATCACAGTCAGGTATTGATAATTAAGTAACAGTATTATTGTTAATAAAGTATATTTAAACATTAAGATATTTAAGCACGCAAACAGTCCACTTCAGTTTTTAGTCTTGCAAATTAATTAAGATCTTTTAAAAGTATTCAACCATTTGCAAAATATTTATAAGTAATTTGTAAACATTTGTAAGCTCCTCTTAATAATCTCACTGATCATATGAGCCATTTTGCTTAACAAGCTGAACTTGTGCTTGACTAACAGTTTTAACAATAAATGGTCTTAAAAGCTGGAGTTAATTTATAACTGCTAATTCACCCTTTAACCCTGAAGGTTGGCGAGCAGACTGCTGGTCACCGTGGCAACGCAGACAACAGTCTCGCTTAGCTAGTAGATAACGAAACAGCAAAGAGAACCAAGAAGAAGAGAGTTAAAACGGACATCAATACTTTGGAGACGAATTAACTTATTTGCATTTATAATCACTCCAGCTGGTTCCTGATACGTTGAATCTGCATTGAGAAACTGTCCAACAATAAAAGGTCACAAAGCTGAAGTCAGTATTTAAGGTGGAACGGGAAAATCACAAAGCTAACTTCAACCTCGTAAAATACCAAATGTTGAGAGACATTTTCGAGAAACTGTTCTACTCTTGTGGAAAAGTTTCCTGCCGGAGATGCGAGAAAAGTAGCTGAGATGTAGCTTAAAGCAGAGCAAAGTAAGCCTGTGTTTTTGTTTATATTTTTAGCCTATACTGGCACATCAGCACATACTGAGACATAATTACAGCCCAGATGGTAATAATGGACATAAAATGTGGCTCAGAAGGTGGTTTGATTTTTACTGAAAGGACAAAATGGCTCTTCTTAACATTTGGGTTGCGACTTCTGTTCTAGGGTTTCCTCCTAGGTTTGGTCAGTGTGAATTCAGATAATTAATACCGGTTTATATTTCTTGATTAATATGTCAAATAAAGATATTAATAGTACGCCTCTGAATGAAAGATTACAACTAATTTAAGATTTAAGTCATTAATCAACAAACAGTCAATAACTAATTTACAGAAGACCTTATAAATAGTTTAAAACACATTTCCAAGCTTGCTTACGAATGATATGGTTCTATTTACTCAGGAAGTATTAATGGCTTGCTGACAGTTTAATAATCATTAAAAAGCAGATCTTAGAGTGTCTCCCTAAACTGTTTTCTCAATTAAAACACATTTATACATAAGCCTACATAAAAAAGTATGGTTGTGATATTTTGTGCATTGATGCAGAACCGCAATGCATTTAAACGTGAATTATTTTTCACACCCCTATTCGCTGATGGTTTGGGTCAAGACAAGTTAAGGTACAATTGTCTGAAGTTTCCACAGGAAACAGTGGCTTTCTGCACATTGATGTCACTGCAGATCTGCAGAACTTTACACACTATAAGAACTATAATCTGCTGAGTGTGTGAGTGACTCAGTGTGTGTGTGTGTGTGAGTGTGGGTAAAGGGTGGGCTGGTGAGAAGCCATGCTGTGGTGTGAGCGACATGCTTTCTGTCGATTAGTGTCAGCTTCCGCAGCGAGTGCTTAAGTGCCCGCGAGCTAAATCTATTACAAAACATTCATCTGCCCGAACGCCAAATGTGTGGGTCACATGATGCCCATGCAAAACGCCATACGGGGTCCAGATCAGCAGTCCTGCTTCAGACGACCGGCATTCGGATCAGTGCAGCCGGGACAGATAAAAGGGCTTTTCCCTCACCTGAGACTTCTGCGTGCTGGTGGGCTGCAAGTGCCTATAGAACACTTTCTTAATGACATCGGGGAACAGGCAGGTGATGACGATGATGATGATGGCGAACCAGGCCGAGCTGCTGGACAGCAGCTGGACGAAGACGAAGTACATGTCCTGCGTGTGCAGGAACGGCCTGTAGGGGAGGAAATACAGTCATGAGCTAAAAATGCTTAAAAATGCAGTAAAAATGCTGCATGTGCCACATTATCTTCCACTCGCTGTTGGTCACATGACTGGATGAAGTGCAGTGGAAATTAATTTCTGCGATGTATAGAGAAACACATATATAGAGCACTTTCACCAGCCACCCGAGAACCTACTCTGTAAAAGAAAATTCTATTTATTTTATGAAATTACTATGTAATTAAACTGCTAAGAAACGCTCTGTTCTGGAGAAACGTAGAGTCGGAATTGTTCACAGTGGTGGTGATAGGAACCAGACGTCCCCCTCTAAAAGCTCCCTCACAGAAAGTTACTACATGAAATGGTTACGAATTCACCGATTGATGTCTGAGAAAACACACTGCCCTAAAACACATTTTCAAAAGGTGAAAAAACCCATAAAGAAAACACATTTTACCATCATCAGCATTACTTATCATCACAGTTAGGACAAAACCTTGTATCTCCAAACAAGCTTTACAGGAGACGCAAAAAACGTTCTTAACTTTCAATTAACTTTAACTTTCGAATGTAAAAAGATGCTATTCTAAGTCACTTTGGACCATTTCTATGGCTGTTCATCATGAAATTTTGACAAGAGTGAAAATGACAGCTGTCAATTTCAAGGCAAACAACGGCAAAGACATCTAAGGTTTTGTCCCGACAGTGACAACATATAAACTCAGAAGACTCGTGTAGGTTCACTGGTGGTTCTGGATAGTAAATAAAATGTCTATATTTGTGTTGTAGTCATGGCGACACTGTAAAGAAATCTGAACCATTTCACACCGAACCACTCTGAATTCACATTCAGAAAATCAGCATGAATGAAGCAGATGAGAGTTAAGGTGCCAGCTGTGTCAATCAGATTTTGATTAGGATCCAAGGCTGGCTTTATGCTGCAAAAACGTTCAATTTTAGCTGCTTGAAATGAAACTAACTTGCGCTTGAACTGTATAATGAAAAAGTTTCATCATGTAAAGCCAGCCTGAGACCCGAGACCAGGACAGAAGCTGAAAAGGTATGTGTGATCAGAGCTGAATTCTGTTCAGTTAAGTCCATCTCTGTTATCTGACTGCTTGAATAATCATCAACATAACAGATTAGTTGATCACGAATGCAGCACTAGTTTTCATCCTGATCCAGAGTTAAATATCAAACCGTTCTGAAGAGCAAACTGCAGAGAGCTGAGCTGAGCATGACTCAGACAGGAAATCAGTCCTGTAATGAATAGACGTCTGAGACATGAGTGCTCCTCTCCCCACTTCCACACGATCCCCTCACTCCCTCCCTCTCCAGAGGAGATAAGGTAATGGGTTCTGACAGCCAGGCCTATTCATTACCAGCCAGACACGATTAGGATCACTGTGGCTGGTGTGGCTGAGCACGAGACGAGACGAGACCTCACTGCATTCGCTACAGCACCAGCAAAACCACTATATACACTGACGTGGTGGTGGTGTGTTAGTGTGTGTTGTGCTGGTAGGAGTGGATCAGACAAAGCAGTGCTGCTGGAGTTTTTAAATACCTCAGTGTCACTGCTGGACTGAGAATAGTCCACCAACCAAAAACATCCAGCCAACAGCGTCCTGTGGGCAGCGTCCTGTGACCACTGATGAAGGACTAGAGGATGACCAACACAGACTGTGCAGCAGCAGATGAGCTATCGTCTCTGACTTTACATCTACAAGGTGGACCGACAAGGTAGGAGTGTCTAATAGAGTGGACAGTGAGTGGACACAGTGTTTAAAACTTCCAGCAGCACTGCTGTGTCTGATCCACTCAGACCAGCACAACACACACTAACACACCACCACCACGTCAGTGTCACTGCAGTGCTGAGAATGACCCGCCACCCAAATAGTACCTGCTCTGTGAGGGTCCATGGGGGGTCCTGACCACTGAAGAACAGGGTAAAAGGGGGCTAACAAAGTATCAGAGAAACAGATGGACTACAGTCTGTAACTGTAGAACTACAAAGTGCACCTATATAGTAAGTGGAGCTGATCAAATGGACAATGAGTGTAGAAACAAGGAGGTGGTCATTATGTTGTGCCTGATCGGTGTGTGTGGATTCTGATTTGAAATATGCTGATTTGCACTATATTTTTGAGCAGATGACAGAAAATAACCCTTTATTTACAGCAGACGCTCTTATCCAGAGCAGTTCGCTACTTGGAAAGACAAACAACAAAAACAACAAACGTGTCCTTAAGCTACTGCAGAAACACCCTCAAGCTAAGATGATGACTCATATAAAATTCTGCACAAGTAGATTCAAGAATAGGATTCGACAGAGATTATCTTCAGAGCTGAAGTGATTATTTAGAGCAGAGTCTATTTAAAACAGGCCGATTCATGCTGTGTTTTTGTGTGTTACAGAAGGATAAAAGGCTGCGGTACCAGATGATGCCGCCGTAAAACAAGGAGAAGATGAAGTAGAAGGCGATGGAGCCCCACGTGACAAAGTGGTTTATCCAGGTCCAGAAGTGCGTCTCCAGGGCCAGCTGTGAAAAGCAGAAAGGACAAAACATTAACATGGAGTGTTAGTTCTTGGTAGGGCTGTGAGGATTCACCAAACAAACTGGATAAAACAATCTGCATCAAAATCATACATACGTAATGACAATACATAGTTACATATTTTGTTAGCATATTTTTGTAGTTTGACCTTAGTTTCTAGGATCTATTTACACCGCATGCTGCATCCGAAAAGCCACTAGCATTGTGACTGACCCCACACACCCCTCACACGAACTGACATAACCGAAATAACATCTCGGCTGTGATTTGGTCGCCGTAGATCATCACAGCCGTGATGTTATTGGCGATAACACACTCCTCGAGTGTTCTGTTGCTTTTATACGGCAGTTAAATAAATAAAGTAATAAATTAATAAACTGGGCCGTGAACGCGGCGTTTAATATGTTTTAATGTTCGCAGTTCCTTCATCAAATTATAGTTCCTTAACGAGCAGCTTGTTGCTACGTCAGAGTAACGAACTCCGCTCGAGTTTGGAAGATGGAGGATGGCTCCCTTCAGTCTGAGAGGAGATGAGACCCCTGAGCAGAAAGCGTTCTGCGTTCTCCTCTTCAATAACAGTGAATCCGTCATAACTGTGCAGTGTGATTTTCGTGGGCAGTGAAGCTCCAACAGCTCAGAGCGTTCGTCGTTGGTTCCACAACACTGGATGATCTCCGAAATCGCACTGAAAGAGCCGTGAGTGCAGCGACATCCGACACGCTCAATCCAGTATGGGATGAGTTTGACTATGGTGTTGATGTTGTCTGTACAGCTGGAGGAGGTTCATACTGAGACCTTGTAAAATTACATAATAAACTTTATGCTCACTTAAACCATTTACAGTTCACTGCACTGATCTGTAATGATTTACAAGTGAAATAAATCATTTTGAAATCAGATAAATCTTTTTGAATCACCCTGTACTATGCGATGCTTCTAACTGGATAAAATCATCACTCATGTAATGCATAACCGCTGCTCTATTTTGTTGCAGTAAAATAAATATCACTGTTGTCGGAAGAAAACCTCGTATCTCCAAAATGGTAACTTTACAGGAGAAGGAACAAACATACTTTACTTATAATGTAAGTCAATGGAACTTTTCCAAGCCATTTTGCGTTATTTCTTTTGGTCCATTCATCATGAAATTTACAGACAATGTAAAGAACAACAGGCATTTTCAAATTATGTCAAAAACTGAAAAACGACAAAAATGGAAATACAAGGTTTTCTTCTGACAGCAGCGACATGTCTATGATGACAGAAAAACAAAAGTTTAAAAAAAAATCTTATTCACAGAGTATCTTGTTTCCGACTAAATATCATAACGTAATCATAACGTAATCATAAATTCCGACGTATATCATAACGAAGACATCCGAAGTCGCAAGTGGAAACTTCCAAGAAGGACTTGAAGGCAGCAATGTATAATCAATAGTCATAGCCCAGCAGCCGATTACAGAAACTTCCCCTCTTGTTGTATTATGATCTGGCAGCTCAAGATAAGATTTTCCAAATTTGTATTACAGAAACGAATCTTATTGTAATAAAGGAATCTTATCTTACAGCATCTTATCTCCAGTTAGGAAATCTTAACCTACTTGATCGAGGTCGACAATCAGCTGTCATGTCTGTTACCTAGCAACAGACCATACTAGACCTTACCAGCTGTAAACGTATAACAGACCTTACCAGCTGTAAACGTAATCAAAATAATGTTAAAAATATAAGTTACAGCTGCTGTTACTGATATAAAAAGGTCAAACAAAACTAAAGAGTGATAAACTGTGAGTTGTGAATACTGTGAGAGCGCCCCCTGCTGTTTATCAGAGCGTCGCCGCTCCCCAGTTTCAGTCTCCATTTCCCAAACGCTTTAGCCGAGCGCGCTAACGTTACTCCTTCTAATAAACAGACACACGTTCAGCTCCGTCTCCTCATTATTCACCACCATCACTGTAATATTTCATCATCAACATTAACACACGAAGGTGATCAGAGGGGCGGTGGAGATCGAGTCTGCAGCGTCTGAGATCTTTAAAACGCAGAGTTAGAAAAGAAAATCATCTCACAGTGAAAGCAGCGTTTTACAGTAGAAATAAATGGAGCTCATTATGCTGGTAGTGAACTATGCTGCTGACACAGCTGCCTAAAAACCATAGAAACGGACCTTAAACAGAAGTTAGGACCCTGTTGGGGTTCATCCTAAAGTTAGGACAGGATTTAGGAGGTTTAGTCTAGTTAGGATGTTTGTGTGATGCTGTTTTCTTATCTGGAGTTCATGATGAGATTATGAAGGTAGGAACTGATATCCTGGAATAGCTAATTCATCATGGAAACTAAACAGATCAGATTGCAGGAGAAGTTTCTATATGGTTCTTTGACTAAAAACTGTCCACTTACCTTTAGGGTTACTGTAATGACCATCACGGTGAATACTAAAGTGCCAAAAGTCCAGTTTCCAAACATCTGCAAAACAGAGTCAACAATCTTATAATTAGGCTTAAAAACATGCTGGGGGACCAAATATCTTAAGGCCTTAACTCAGTTTCAGCTAAAACACTAAAACATCACTGCTACAGAAGTAGGAGTCATTGCTTGGCTTGGGGAGAAAATCCAGAGCACGTTGGAAGTGTTTTATATTCTGTCATGCAAAGCTGAGTGGGGGAACACTTCCAACATCGTGTTGTAACGCGCGCCCGTAATTGAAGATGGCACTACATCAAAAGAACACTGATGAGTGGCTCTCGTACAGGATGGAAAACCATGCGGCAGTGACAGCTGCTCATTGTAAAGGGAGGACATGCATCGACTGTAATCCAATCAACTCTTACCAGCTGCCTGTTAGCTCGCAAAATCTGAAAACATGCAGAGCGTGAAGAGAAAAGAGAGGAAAAATAAGAGAGATGAGAAAGAAAGTGAAAGAAATGGAGAAATAACAAGCCAACATCCACAGACGATACGTCGCCTCCTGCGGCTTAAGTGCAAATGATCTAACCATGCGCCCACAAATGCGTTCTTTCGTGGCTACTGTCGTGAAGTTGGACAAGCTTTACAGAACTCTGGTAAAAATCCTACTCAGCCTAATGAGAAACTGTAGAACAGACTCAGTTTATACCACAATACCTACATTTAGAGTCGGTTATTCATTCAGCCTAATGAGAAACTGTAGAACAGACTCAGTTTATACCACAATACCTACATTTAGAGTCAGTTATTCATTCAGCCTAATGAGAAACTGTAGAACAGACTCAGTTTATATCACAATACCTACATTTAGAGTCAGTTATTCATTCAGCCTAATGAGAAACTGTAGAACAGACTCAGTTTATATCACAATACCTACATTTAGAGTCGGTTATTCATTCAGCCTAATGAGAAACTGTAGAACAGACTCAGTTTATATCACAATACCTACATTTAGAGTCAGTTATTCATTCAGCCTAATGAGAAACTGTAAAACAGACTCAGTTTATATCACAATACCTACATTTAGAGCATTAATTACAAACTATACAGTGGGGTCGAAAAGTCAGGGCCACTGGTAAAAATGCTTCTATTTTTCAAGGTTGTTTATGACTAATTCTATTATCAGCATAACAATCTGAGTGAAAAGTGGAATCTTTAAATATTTGCATGAGTTTCAGAATTTCATATTGTTTGTCTCGACAAGACTCAAAAAATAAACAAATATTCTGACCTTTTTTATAACGGCCTTAACATGGTCAGTGTCACAAGTTTGCTTTAATTTGAATAGCTGCATAGAAACAGTGCAGAACCTTTAATATCTCTACTTCATTTTAATCATAACTTTTCTTTGTCTTAATCTCTGCAAAATTCTAAAATTTTCTGTTGTTTATTTCCAGGTTTAAATGAAAAAAATCCCAGATTCTCAATGTGGTCTCAGATTTTGGACCCCGCTGTATCTCTCCCATGTATGTGAAAGGCCACACTGCTGGGACAGACTGGGGCTGTGACTGAAATGGATCCCTACTTGCGTTTTAAGGGATTAGTATGTATGTTGGCCTTTTCTCTCTGAGTGTCCGAACCATAAAACGTAATTCCAGAGCTTTGAGGTCACTACAATCCAGAGAAGGGGTCGCACGCTGACTGATTCAGGTCCTGACTAGAATGTGAGACTTACGACTTTTTGTGTTGTGCAGTTGAGCCACGATCGAGCATGGTGGTAAATTCTATGTCGTTATTGCCAAATTATCTGTTTGATTAGCCACTGCATCACAGCTAAGGTTATGGTTAAGGTTATATAATGCATACAGTAGGGGTGGGCGATATGACAAAAATATTGTATCATGATACTTCAAGATATTCACACGACACACGATACTGATAATCACAATTAGTTTTTCTAAGATTTAATAAGTTGGAACAGAAAACAAAACCTGTAGTGCCACAAATAAGAATATCATAATAAAAGTAAACCTACAACTCCAATCATTTTTATTCATTACTGTACAAACTGTGCTGCATGAAAATCCAATTAAACAGGCCTAATTCAGCTCTAACCTTGATCAAATCCATGCCCAATCCCACCCCCCCCCACCTCCTTGTTTCTGCGCTCATTGTCCATTTTATCAGCTCCACTTACTATATAGGTGCACTTTGTAGTTCTACAGTTACAGACTGTAGTCCATCTGTTTCTCTGATACTTTGTTAGCCCCCTTTTACCCTGTTCTTCAGTGGTCAGGACCCCCATGGACCCTCACAGAGCAGGTACGATTTGGGTGGTGGATCATTCTCAGCACTGCAGTAACACTGATGTGGTGGTGGTGTGTTAGTGTGTGTTGCACTGGTCTGAGTGGATCAGACACAGCAGTGCTGCTGGAGTTTTTAAACACCTCAGTGTCACTGCTGGACTGAGAATAGTCCACCAACCAAAAATATCCAGCCAACAGTGTCCTGTGGGCAGCGTCCTGTGGGCAGCGTCCTGTGACCACTGATGAAGGACTAGAGGATGACCAACACAGACTGTGCAGCAGCAGATGAGCTATCGTCTCTGACTTTACATCTACAAGGTGGACTGACAAGGTAGGAGTGTCTAATAGAGTGGACAGTGAGTGGACACAGTGTTTAAAAACTCCAGCAGCACTGCTGTGTCTGATCCACTCGTACCAGCACAACACACACTAACACACCACCACCACGTCAGTGTTACTGCAGTGCTGAGAATGATCCACCACCCAAATAGTACCTGCTCTGTGAGGGTCCATGGGGGTCCTGCCCACTGAAGAACAGGGTAAAAGGGGGCTAACAAAGTATCAGAGAAACAGATGGACTACAGTCTGTAACTGTAGAACTACAAAGTGCACCTATATAGTAAGTGGAGCTGATCAAATGGACAATGAGCGCAAAAACAAGAAAGTGACCATAATGTTATGCCTGATCGGTGTATGTACATATACACCTGACTTATTATGGCCTGACTGCGAAGTTGTGAAGCTTTCTCTGATCCGTTAATAGATAATTAGTTCCAGAAAAAAAACAGCCTTAATTATGCTCACTTTGCAAAGAAACATGCAGTCATTCTTTGCTAAAGATATTCACAATATGCTCAGAAAAGCATATTGTAACAATTTACCACCATAAAGATTAAATATCGTCACACTGCCTACCCCCAACATATAGGGCAAATTATTACATTGGAATCTATAGGACCTAAGGTCACTGTGCCCAAAGCCTACTGTGGGCTAGAGGGGTATAAAGCCCCCCCAGCATTGGGCCGTGGAGCAGTGGAACTGTGTTCTCTGGACTGATGGAGCTCCATCCAATACCTTTGGGATGAGTTGGAGTGATTCAGAACTGACCATCCAACATCAGTACCTGACCTCACTAATGCTCAATCAAATCTTTACAGCAATGTTCCAGCATCTAGTGTAAAGCCTTCCCAGAACAGTAGAGGGTGTTACAGCGGCACAAACTCACTATTAATACCTTCATTTTAGAAGAAACACTGGAGTCTATGAACTTTTAGACAGATGGAAGAAATGGTTATTATATGTAGGTATTTAAGATTTTAAAATGCAAATGTATGCGTGTGTGTAAACACAGACCTGTCCGTTTCCCATCAGCGAGGTGTCCTCTCCCATCAGCATGTAGGAGCCGAAGAAGAATATGAAGGCGTGGCAGAAGCCCAGGATCGTCCAATACAAAAAGGTTTTGAAGGAGAGCATTGAGTTCTTACTGATATCTCTGTTAATGTGGGTGGAAAAAACAGGGGGTCAGAACAGGAACACTCTCAAAACAAAGGTACTAAACTGTCTCTGGGTCAGTTCCCCTCTTGTCACTGGGGTGGAACCCTCAAGGGTCCATCTCAGTACCTTTAGTCAGGGAACATAACTGAACCATAATCCACTGAAATGATATGTTCTAAGCTGTACTGACTCCACACACCCCGTCTCGTCTCCAGGCTTTTATTTTATTGTTCTGTTTTAAAACATTCGGTTATGAAAAGGTACAAATACGAACTTTTCACCTGGAAACACTTATTTAAGGTTCACAATCAGACCTTAAAACCACTGTTGTACCTTTGAGGGCACATTTATGTTGTTTGTAGCTTGATGAATGAAAAATGTACCTGAACCTTTATTTATGACACTTTAGAGCGTCAACTTTTGTCTGCAGCTTCTGTTTTATTGTTTACAAGTTAAAATATTATTACTGTAGTAAAAAACCTTTAATTTAGAATTTGATGTATTATCTAAACACTAAAAGTTTCAAAACATTCACTTTTCGGTCTTTACAGGCCATATAAGGAAACCAACCTGCAAAAACCTGTTTTGAATTCTTTGTTTCTGTGATGTCACAAAAAGCAACACATTGACATACATTCACCCATTCAGCCTACAGTAGTTCGGCTCCACCCACTCACACTGAAGTTATAAGGAGTGTTTCAGTCTGGACTGCTTTTTGAATGAAGCACAATACAGGGCAGCCAATCAGAACAGAGCTCAATTACATATATCAGTCTTAAAGGCACAGACTGTTTCATTCTAACAGATAAAGACAGGTAGGAAAATGATCTGTTTTTGGCACATAGTGTTTGGTGACTTTCTTCACCAGGGCCAGATTCAGTGAAGTGTCTTAAGAAAGAAAATCTTCTTAAATGTGTGTTTTTTATTCTTAAGAAAAAAGTTACAAGAAACGTATTCATCAAATAACTTCTTAAGAAGTCCCTTATTTTCTTTTCTTAACTATTTCCCTAAGAATAATTCTAAAACCAAGTGTTATTCTTGAAAATATTATGTTCTCAAATGTTTTCTTAACCTTACGACAGACTCACACTCGTCTCAGGCTGTGAGAGCTGACAAGGTGAGCTGACAAGGTGAGCATCTAAATTTATCAGTGGTGCTGCATCTTCTGCTCCTCATCTTCGTCCGTCACCCCACAATTATCATATTTGACAATGAGTATTTTTTTCCTGTTGGCTGTTTCTTCCTCCATCACCTCCGGATCTAGTTTGATCATTTTTTTAACGCCATGTTTGATGTTTTTCCCCCATTTTGCTCCTCTGAGTGGATTAAACTAAATAACGGAAATAACAGTTAATACAAATTCAAAATGTGTCTTCACGTTGTTTATGGTACGTGGTAAAATGCAACGTAGCCGACGTAAGAAAACACTGAAGATTTTGTTAAGAAAATCTAAAGAAAATCAAAATTTACTCAAGAGAATTTTTGAGAACTTCAAGTTTTTTTTCCAAGAATTGCATTCAGTTCTTATGAACTTGCGAAGGTTCTTAGAAACGTTTTTGTGAATCAGGCGCCGGATTCACGAAAGCTTTCGTAAGAAAAAACTTGCAAAGTTTCTTAAAACAAACACAAGATTTTCTTAAATAAATCTTCATTGTTTTCTTATGTAGGCTAACGCTGCATTTTACCACGTACCATAAACGACACAAGATACATTTTGAATTTGTAGTATTTGTTATTTTCATTATTAACATATTCAGAGGAGCCAACTGGAGCAAAAACATCAAAGCAAGCATTTAAAAAAATTCAGCAAACAAGAACAAGAGGTGACGGTGCAAAAATCCTCATTGGAAAATATGATAATTGTGGGGTGACGGACGAGGATGAGGAGGCAACGTCAGTGAAAAATTCAGATGCTCACCTCATCAACTCTCACAGCCCGAGACGAGTGCCAGGCTGTCGCAAGAAAACAAAAAGAGAATTCTGAAGAAGTTAATCGAAGAATAACAATTTCTTGGACCTTTTTCTTAAGAATTATGTTAAGAAAAAACACACATTGAAGAAGATTTTCTTTCTTAAGACATTTTCGTGAATCCGGTCCCTGGAAGATTACAGAATTAGCTAAACTGTTGTTAGCTTGAGCTGCAAGTGTTACCCAAGACTTGTTCTGCTGGTACTAATCTAAAGGAGGCATCACAAACTTTGGAGATGATAGTGACGACATTTAAATAGCAATGCTGATGAAAACACCATATTTCCTCTTTTTAAATGCAACCCAATGTACCAAACTTTGTTAACTGATGAAAAGAATCTATAATCCACTATTAAAGCTTCAACTAGTGCTGACTTTGAGTAAAGTGAATGATTTACCTGTAAAGTGCTGGTTTGCTCTGCAGCACATGCGGATGGACCAGCTGCTCGAAGAGACTGTACACCAGGATGGGGAGGGAGGTGAAGCAGATGTTGTACAGCGTCAGATACACGCTGTCATAGAGGGTCTGTAAAACAGGAGAGTGTGTGAGATCTGACACTGCAGTGAAACAACACACTGCTGCCTCAGACATCACCAGCCCATAAAAGCTGGGATAATTATCAGCGAAACTGCTCTAAACTAGTTAGAACATTTTCTGTGAATACCTGCATTTTTTAAACTAATGATAATCAGATCTCCCAACAAGAAAATAGCTCTATAAATACAAATGAAAGCGTAAAGTTTAGGATTTGTTTACTGCAGCGACCATAAGTGTTGATCTGTACCTGATAGAGCTGATTCAGTGATTTATCTTTGTTGATTTAATGATTTATCCTGGTGTCGTAGGCTAATTTAGTGATTTATCTTTGCGTTTTAGGTTGATAGTGATTTATTTTCATGCTTTAGACTGATTTAATGATTAATCTTTGTGTTTGAGGTTGATATAGTGATTTATCTTTGTAGTTGAGGTTAATATAGTGATTTATCTTTGTGTTTGAGGCTGATATAGTGATTTATCTTTGTGTTTGAGGCTGATATAGTGATTTATCTTTGTGTTTGAGGCTGATATAGTGATTTATCTTTGTGTTTGAGGTAGTTTCAGTGTTTTATTTTCATGTTTTATATTGATATAGTGATTTATCTTTGTGTTTGAGGCTGATATAGTGATTTATCTTTGTGTTTGAGGCTGATATAGTGATTTATCTTTGTGTTTGAGGTAGTTTCAGTGTTTTATTTTCATGTTTTATATTGATATAGTGATTTATCTTTGTGTTTGAGGCTGATATAGTGATTTATCTTTGTGTTTGAGGCTGATATAGTGATTTATCTTTGTGTTTGAGGCTGATATAGTGATTTATCTTTGCATTTTAGGTTGATTTAGTGATCTATCTTTGTGTTTGAGGTTGATATAGTGATTTATCTTTGCATTTTAGGTTGATTTAGTGTTCTATCTTTGTGTTTGAAGTAGTTTCAGTGTTTTATTTTCACGTTTTATACTGATATAGTGATTTATCTTTGTGTTTGAGGTTCATATAGTGATTTATCTTTTTGTTTTAGGTTGATACATGGCTTTATCTTTGTAGTTGAGGTTGTTTCAGTGATTTATTTTCATGTTTTATATTGATATAGTGATTTATCTTTGCGTTTTAGGTTGATTTAGTGATCTATCTTTGTGTTTGAGGTTGTTTTAGTGATTTATCTTTGTGTTTGACATTGGTTCTTTGTTTACCATCTAGGTTTATCATCTTCTAGTTTGAAATATTCCCAAATACAACGCTGCTTGAAATACTACTAAAAAACTACATTTGCCTTATTCAAATAGCAAATGAATACTAAGTTTGGACGCCCATGTATTGGAAAAACCACACCAATCAGTAGTCAACTGTCAACCCAGATTTAAAGGGACCATATCATGTAAAACAGAACTTTGCTCATAGTTTGATTTTCGTTAAAGTAACAAAATAAAACACTTTTTTGAATTCACTTTTTTGCGATGTCACAGAAAACAACTTATTTACATATATCCGCCTACTCAGCCTACAGCACTTTAGCCCCGCCCATTCACTCTAAAGTTCTAAGGAGTGTTTTGGCTGGACTGCTTTTTGAATGAGGCGCAATACAGCACAGCCAATAAGAACAGAGCTAATTTACACATCTCAATCTTTATGCCACAGTAAAGGATTAAGGGACGTTGGAAAACGGTAAAATTAAATAATTAAATAAATTAATTTAAAAAAACCCTACAAACATCATAAGGGGACCTCAGGGTTGAAAAAAAATAAATGCAAGAAAAATATAAGATATGGACACTGTAAAATTCCCCAATTGGAAAAGCCAAATTACAAGCCAACTGCAGGCAACCGGAGGGGCATCAGACAGAGGACAACAGAAAGAAAGCATGTTTAGAACACCATTCACTGAAAGACCACACAGTCAAACACCATGAGAGACTCCAACAAGCACAGAAATAAATCCACACTTACTTGCTGTGAAAACAGACAGAAGAACTGGTATAAAAACTGGGGTGTGATAAAGCACACATTCTACAAGAAAATAAATAAAACAGGATTCTTTATGAGCAACATGCCTCCATGACAGTCAATTCAAACTTAAAATAAATAAGATCGCTCGTCGCTTTTCGTTAACGTACCTTGTAGAAAAAGTACTGGACGAGTGTTGCTATTCGGATGTAGTAGAAGTGGCCGTGGACGAGCAGTAATTTGGCAAGGAACTTGAACCTTGCGATTGCATAGTCACTGTTTCGCACAGCTTGTCTTCCTTCTTTTCCCATGATACCTGCACACAATTGAATTCTGTTAGCTCGATCGGCAGGAAAAGCAACCGGTCACAGTTCCATTAACATTTTAATTGTGCAGGATTTCTCCTGGGTTTAACAGCACTGCAACCTAATCAGAGCTTATTTCTTTCTGCACTCGATTAAGATTCTTCAGGAAACAATTCAATGCATCATGAGATCTCAATTTAATCACAAACTAGTTCAATTATTTTGGTACAATTCAGAAAAATATGTGGACACTAGAGCAGAGGTCTTCAAATCCGGACTTTGAATCCAGTATCCGGTCCTGGATTTTCTAATCACTGGTAGAGAATGAGCGGCCAATCAGTCACATCAACTGTTCAGTTAACAGGTGATAACAGAAACCTGAAGACTTTCGCTCAGAATTTGTGTAATAATTGTCATTTTTCCCCCAATACAGTGGTTACAATACAAAACAGACAGTGAATTAAATAGTTAGATTTTATACTATAAAAATATTCACATCAGATACACTGACAAATCGTTTTTTTTAATGATGAATTGACGCAAAAAAAACAAAAGTAAGGAAAAAAAAACTATGTGCATTGTGTTAATTATACTTGTGTATATATATAAAATTCATTTTAGTTTCTTCTTGCCTCCAAAAGTCTGAAAATGTCAGTTGGTGCAACCGTCCAACCATATATGCTGATTAAGTAAACAATCAAAAGTAATTTATAAAATTCTAAATAAAATAGTTGATGATTTTATGTTTAAAAACTTTAAAATAAAAACCATGTTGCAAAATAAGGCAACTTTAAAAGTGCTCAATCAAAAACTTTTATTTTGACACGCTTTTATGAAAGAGGGGCCAGTGTACTGTATCATAAAGAAGACCCCAAGTGACCTTCATGGTGCAATGCCAAGGTTACAAATGTAGTAAAAGTGTGTTTGAGTCGTGGTTAGAACGGTTCACTTTACCATGTCAGGTGTTCTGACCTCAGGAGAACCATAAAAATGAGGAATTATCACAATAATGTTTAATAGTTTGAAAAAATGTAATTATAAACTCAAGTTGAAAGACAAAGGTTTCTACGGGTGTCTAAATAGATAATTAGTCTGAAAAGTCAGGCGGTGCAACCAGTCAGTCAGATGGAGCAACCAGACCAGCACAGTTTAATAACTGAATCAGGCAGTTAAAGCTTTGTTAACACTCAACATATTAAAGACAGAAAATAAATAAAGATACAAAGGCAAATATATATGCAGATATAAAAGTGCATATCATGTTCTATTTAATAAGATATAATAACATACTTCTTTCTTTTGTATCGTATTGTGGTGCACAATTTACAATGCATACCGTATCATGAATTTTGTGTATTTTTATCCTCCCCCTACTGACTCAGAGCTACGTTTATTAGCTTTATTTCATATCTTATAAGGCCACTTACCTATACCCACATGGGCCTCCTGGATCATACTGACATCATTGGCTCCGTCCCCGATGGCTAATGTAATGGGTTTTTCTGGAGAAGTCTTCAGCAAACGCACCACCTGCCAAACAAACGCTGCCATCAGTGCTAGCCTGGAGGAAATCAGCAGAGCGGCGTGCCGCAATTAAGCCCAGACTGAGGACATTAGTGACTGACCTGTGGCACCAGCTCCACAGTGGAGGCTTACAGATGTCTGGCTTAAAGGAACAGTAAAAAACTAATTTATGCAGTTTACCCTCGGACCCCAAACGTAGCTGATGAGCCAAGACATGTTTGGTGCCTCTTTAGTTTCAGCACACGAGCTACAAGGCTAATGTAATGAAAGATTAAACCCCAACAGTTAACATAATGACTCACATCACACTCGCCTCAACCCGTATGGAGGTGTTCAGTATCTCTAAGCAACTTGATTGTGTGGTTTCTGACTCTGTAAGACTCACTGGTATCTATAAACCTGGACTAAAGCACGTTAGCCTAGCTAAAACAGTAGCAGCAGCCACATTCTGTCACATATTTGAGTTTATTAAAGATTATTAGGGCTGGGACAATAAGCAGTTATGAAAAGACACAAGCATCAAGCTTTGAAAATTTACCTTAACAATAATACAATCTTTCACTTTAAAGCTCATAGTTGCGCCTGTAATTTGTTTTATTATTATATTTTATTTATAATTTGATTATTTCACTTCCGGCGCCGCGCGAGTGGCAGCCTGTTACAGCAGCTCTTGCTCACCGTGAGCTTTTTTTCTCTTATTTTTCCTTTCTTTTATAGTACTTTCTAAACCTGAGTACTTTTCACACTGTCTGTGCACCATGGTCATTAAACTTGTGAAGTTTGCGCTTCTTTTTATTTTGTTTTTCTCGCACATTTCACACGTGAGAGCGGATCCAGCGTGCTCCCGGCAGGATCTCTTTGTTTACACCAGGGATCAGCTGATAGCGCTGAGGGGCACAGCAGCGCTCCCGGGGGAGCGACCCCAGATCCCCCGCGAGCTGAGGAGGAAGCGGCGGGGGACTCGCGCGGGGGCTCAGCGCCGTGCGAGGAGAAGACGCTACAAACCAGTCCTTCCCTCTGTCATCATGGGGAACGTGAGATCTCTTCCAAATAAGATGGATGAGTTAGCGGCGCTGACCCGGGAAAATTCCGTGAGTGTAGCGTCATGCTGTTTACGGAGACCTGGCTAACTATGCTAACTCCGGATACACTCGTCTCTCTGGATGGCTTTCACCTCATACGGGCGGACAGGACAGCGGAGAGCGGTAAGAGGAAAGGAGGAGGTCTGGCAGTATTTGTGAATGATAGATGGTGTAATTCTGGACACATCTCTATTAAAGAGCAAATCTGCTGTAAGGACATTGAACTGTTAGCCGTTAGCATGAGACCTTACTATCTGCCACGGGAATTCTCGCATGCTATCGCGATAGCTGCGTACGTTCCTCCGTCTGCTAACGCTGACGCTGCCTGTGACGTCCTGCACTCAGCTGTGAGCAGGATTCTGACCCAGCACCCACAGGCCCTCCTCCTGATCTCTGGGGACTTTAACCATTCTTCTCCATCCTCAACACTGTCTACCTTCACCCAGTATGTCACCTGCCACACCAGAGACAATAAAATACTGGACTTGTTTTATGCCAATACAAAGGAGGCATATAACTCCCTACCCCTCCCTCCCCTGGGAAGATCAGATCACAACCTGGTTCATCTCCTGCCTGTGTACAAACCACTTGTACACAGAGAACCAACCATCTCCCGCACAGTGAAGAAATGGACTGCAGAGTCTGAAGAGGCTTTGAAAGACTGTTTCAGCACAACACTGTGGGAGGAGATGTGTGATCCTTATGCGGAAGATATTGATGGCCTCACACACTTCATAACGGACTATGTCAACTTCTGTGTGGAGAATACCGTACCCACCAAGACCATTTGGTGTTTCTCCAACAACAAACCCTGGATTAATCCTGATATAAAGGCCCTCCTGAAGGAGAAGAAGAGGGCTTTTAACTCAGGTGACAAGGAGGAGATGAGATCTGTGCAGAGGGAGCTGAGAAGGAAGATCCGGGAGGGGAAAGCCAGCTACAGGAGAAAGATGGAGGCCCAGCTGCAGCAGAATAATGTCAGTGGAGTCTGGAATAGCCTCAAAACTATTTCTGGACACAAGAAGCCCGACTCCCGGGCTGTGGGGGACCACAAGTGGGTGAATGAACTCTCCCTGTCTGGCACTACCAGCATTTGGCCCTCCCCCCTCTCCTGCACCCACCCCCCTTCATCTCAACACACAGCCACCATCAGACGGCTCTCCTGCTGACATACATCCCAGCACTGTTCTCCCTTACTCCAGCCTCACATTCACATCATCCCAGGTGAGAAGTGAGCTCAGGAGGATGAAGATCAGGAAGGCTGCAGGTCCAGATGCCATCAGCTCAAGGCTTCTCAAGACCTGTGCGAACGAGCTGTGTGACGTGGTCGGGTACATCTTTAACCTCAGCTTGAGGTTAGGGAAAGTCCCACAGCTGTGGAAAACATCCTGCGTGGTGCCAGTGCCAAAAACCCCACACCCCAAAGACCTCAACAGCTATAGGCCGGTGGCGCTGACATCTCACCTGATGAAGACCCTGGAGAGACTGCTTCTTGTCCACCTGCGCCCCCTGGTGAGCTCTTCAACGGACCCACTGCAGTTTGCCTACCAACCTGGCATTGGAGTGGAGGATGCCATCATCCACCTCCTACACAGCTCTCTCTCTCACCTGGAGAATGCTGGGAGCACTGTGAGAATCATGTTTTTTGATTTCTCCAGTGCTTTCAATACCATCAAACCCACACTGCTGAAGGACAAGCTGGAGTGCACGGGCCTGGACCATCACCTCACCACCTGGATCCTGGACTACCTCACTAACCGACCGCAATTTGTGAGGACCCAGGGCTGTCAGTCGGACACGGTGGTCTGCAGCACGGGGGCTCCACAGGGAACTGTCCTCGCTCCCTTTCTCTTCACCCTCTACACTGCGGACTTCAAGTACAGCTCTGCCAGTTGTCACCTGCAAAAGTTCTCTGACGACTCTGCTATCGTCTGCCTCATCACAGACGGAGATGACAGGGAGTACAGAGAACTGACGCAGGACTTTGTGGAATGGTGCCAGAGGAACTGCCTGCAGATCAACGCAGGAAAAACCAAGGAGCTGGTGGTGGACTTCCGCAAGTCCAAACATTCTCCTCCGGTGCCTGTGAACATCCAGGGAATGGACATTGAGATTGTGAAGTCCTATAAGTACCTGGGTGTTCACCTCAACAACAAGCTGGACTGGACTGACAACACAGCTGCCCTCTACAGGAAAGGCCAGAGCAGGCTACATCTCCTGAGGAGACTCAGGTCCTTTGGCGTGCAGGGGGCACTTCTCAGGACCTTCTTCGACGCTGTGGTGGCATCAGCCATTTTTTATGGAGTGGTGTGCTGGGGCAGCAGTATCTCCATTGCTGACAGGAAGAGACTGAATAAGATCATCAGGAAGTCCAGCTCTGTCCTGGGATGTCCTCTTGACCCAGTGGAGGTGGTGGGGGACAGGAGAATGAGGACTAAGCTAACAAACATGCTGAAGAACCTGTCCCACCCCATGCACCGCTCTCTGACAGCACTGAGCAGCTCCTTCAGTGCCCGGCTGCGGCACCCGCGGTGCGTGAAGGAGAGATACCGCAGGTCCTTCCTCCCAGCCGCTGTCAGACTCTATAACAGTCACAGCACTCAGTAGACAGTAGTTTACAATTACTTTCCATGTGCAAGAACTCTCAACATCACTGCCACAGCACTTTACTGTGTGCAATATCTCAACCCACCATGCATAGTATATTCACTGCGGATCATTGTCAACATGTTTACCACCATTATGTGCAATTATGTCAAGTGCAATATTTCTCCATTTATTTACTATTTATTTATTTGCTATTTTATTCACTGTGCAATACTCACTACAATACATACATTTCTACATTTCTAAATTTAAATTTAATACTTTGTATATTTTTCTTGTAATCTTTGTACATATACATATATATCTTTATACTTTTATTGTTTATTCTATTTAAATATTGTTTGTATATTTCCTGCTGCTCTGTCTTCTGTGCTGCTGTAACACCGCAAATTTCCCCGTTGTGGGATTAATAAAGGATTATCTTATCTTATCTTATCTTTAATCATTTTAAAGCAACACTATGTAGGATTTGGGGATCTGGAGCCCTCTCTGGTGGAAACATGTAATTGCACGCAATGTGTGGAAGAACGTTTTGTAATGTGGGTTATGCTTTGGACCCCCACAAGTGGATGAATCTGACTTTTGTGAGTGCATTGAAAGGGAATTCGTAGAGAACTCAGTCAGAACTTGGTGAAGGACGCGTCTTCTGAGGATGTGAGTGAACTATCTATGGTCATGATATCTTCATCAGTATAATGCGATTTTGCATTTGAGATCTAAACACTGAATCGGAACTTCCTCTCGAGCCTGTGTGTGACATTAATACATAAGGACGTATGACGTGGTCCGACAAACTCCCGCCAAACTGGTGCCAATACCTCTGACTTTTTAATGATTATTTCAGGCTTTACAAGACGACTCACAGCAGCGCACAGTCACCATATTTTAGTGTGTTCTTTTTCTTCTACATACTCAGTAATGCTACTTCTTTCAGTTTTAATAAAAAATATTACAAAGTGCTGCTTTAATGAACTAAAGCAGTGCCTGGGACTCCACAGCATTCAGCCACTGTGTGTCGGTGGAACTCTTTGGGCTGTTTGTTAATTTTTTTTATTTTATTTTATTTTTTAACAGAATGGGCTGTTGCCCAGCTCCTGCATCTTTGAGCGGCTAAAAGAAAAAGGATCACTTGGTAACTCTTACTAATCAATAAATCAATTTCTTCTTCAAAGGTTCCCAGTGTTTAAAAAGAGCACACTGGACTTGATGTGAAGGTTTCAGTGCGTTAAATCTATACAAATGGACAGTGTGTGAAAAGACCTCATGATATCTAAACAAACTACGACTGACAACGAAATCATTGTTCCTGATGGAGTTTTCTCTGTACGGCAACACTCCAGTGTGGCATTCACTCACACCAGCAACTCACTGAAGTGTGGAAATATAATAAAATTGACCAGTAACCAAAGTTGACCAGTAATTTGATATGTAAAGCCCTATTTGGACAGTATGGGAGGTGGGTAATGTAACTATTATTGGTATTTCTCAGTGATTTTAGTCCCATTCGAATTAGCCATGTCAGTCGTATTTACTCCTGCTTCATTAAAGATTCCGGCACCATTTACCTTCCATAAAACAAGCTATAGAAATAAACCATGTTATATGAATCCTGTGCAAATCGACATGTCGGTAAAAACACTATCATATCCTGTGGAAAAGGAGTTTCTTCAGTGTGGAGGCTCAAAGAAGTGTTCACTTGTGTTATCTGACGAAGCTTCGTGCTTGAATTTTCCTGTTCCACCTTAAATGGTGTGGCAATTATTATTATAACGCTTGATGTGCTAGAATGTAACTGCTGCACCATTTAAGGTGGAACAGGAAAATTCAAACAAGAAGATGTAACGTCACTGTCCTCTTTCACGTGTACAACTCAGAATATGTAAAAAATACAAAATTAAAATTACAGAAAAAAAGTTTGATTTTATGCTGTGAAGTTGACTGTTGGCTGTGAATTTCCAAGCTAATAGAAATGCTAACAATGCACTGCATTCACTTAAGAGGGCGAGGTAAATGGTTAAGGCAGGGGTCAGAAACCCAAATGTTAAGAAGAGCCATTCTGTCCTATTTCAACAAAAATCAAACCACCTTGGGAGCCACAACATTTTATGTCCATTTTACTGAAGTAACATTTTACTTTGCTCTACTTTAAGCTTTTGCACATCTCTGGCAGGAAACTTTTCCTCAAAAGCAAAATAGTTTCCTGTGAAATGATTTTCAACGTTCGACTTTTCATGAGGCTGAAGTCGCTTCTCATTTGCCAGCTACTTGTTTAAATTAAATGGTGCCTGAGGCGCCAGAATGTAACTGGTGGAGAAATTTAAGGGAAAATTCAAACAAGAAGCTGGTAAACGAAAAGCTGACTTCAGCTTTTTGACAGTTTGACAGTTATTTATATTACGTTCATTTTAAATCTTTCGTCTTTGCCGTTTCGTTAGCTACTAGCTAGACGAGATTATTGTCTGCGTTGCTATGGTGACCAGCAGTCTGCGCTGATCTTCAGGATTAAATGAATTAGCAGTTCTATATTAACTCCAGAGTTTTAGACCATTTATTGTTAAACTGTGTTGAACGATCAGCAGAGCTTTATTTTACTGTAAAGGAGGATTATTTTATTTTTACCTACAAATCTAATTCTGCTGTGGAGCTGCATGTTGCCGACCCCTGAGTTAGGGTCAACGAAATAACGGCTAAATTGAACGTTTTAACGTCTTTTCTGTAGTGAAGGCGGCGTGTAAGTCCAGCAGCCGCTCCCTTCTCTGTCATTCATACTGAGATTTCTTCTCGTGTAAATTGGTCAAACACTCCAGACGCTGTGTGGTGGACTGGCATTACCCTCCTCCCCACGGAAAACTAATCTGGTCTGAATAGGCCTTAATTTGGATAAGACTGTATATTACATCTTAACTGTCTGAATACATTTGGGGTATGAGATGAAAAACTGGGGGGGAAATATTTGCTTTTTGACCAAAATTTTTCTTCGAACAGACACGGGAAGTCACTGAGACACACGGGTCACAGCCGGACACACAGCAGTGAAATAACACTTGCCTTTGCTTTCTGTAAGGGTGCCATCCTGCAGCAGAGCACGGCCGAGCAGTTCTTACACACTTCCATGAAGAGCTTCTCGTGCTCCCGCAGAGCCAGAGACAAGCTTGCGCCATCCACCACCAAGCCATGCTGAATCACATGGTCCTCTATGATCCTGCACAAACACAGACATGCCTTAAATCCTCTCTACACAGCAACCAAATCCTGTTTAATCAAAACATTTCACACGATCTCACATTTCAAACGGTTTACAGTTCAGCACACAGCGCTGCATGTAACACCGACCCCCCCCTTCAGACTAACGACCAGGTAAACACACCCGTGTGGGCTCATGTGAGTCAGCAGCAGGAGGGGGACGTGAACAATACCTTCATTAATGGCATAATGCCTACATTTATACAGAGACTCGCTGTCCACACGGCCCAAATTTCACGCTCAAAGTATGATTCTGTGTAGACATCAGTGAGAATTAATCACAGTTATGCTGTCGCTCAAGCAGGTAGAAAATTTACTAAAACTAGTACAGTAAGTTCTACCGGTTTCCTATTTGGGTCTGTTCCTCTTTTTTGAATATGCTGTAGAAAAATGCACTGACAGAAACATTCACAGTTTAACGATAGTGTACTGGTAAACAAACAAGTAAAGAAACAAACAAATAAATAAACAGTTAGTTAGTTAAATGGCAGAATTGTACTCCACTAAGGGTGTTTTCACAGAAAGTTCTTTTCAAATGAACCGAACTGAGTTCTGTTAAAGTGAAACTGAAAGGGAAACAACTGCAAATGACCTCAGTTCTTTTTGAAGCCTGAACAGCCAGATCGGAATTCATATGACTTTTACGTCAATCCAACTCGACAGCCTATAAAAGTGATCTATATAGTGCTCCAATGCAGGGAACAGTGTTTAGGGACCATATGTATCCTATAAAAGTGTTCTATATAGTGCTCTAATGTAGGGAATAGTGTTTAGGGACCACTCTGTTCTAGTTCTCTAATGTAGGGAATAGTGATTAGGGACCACTCTGTTCTAGTTCTCTAATGTAGGGAACAGTGATTAGGGACCACTCTGTTCTAGTTCTCTAACGTAGGGAAGAGTGATTAGGGACCACTCTGTTCTAGTTCTCTAATATAGGGAAGAGTGATTAGGGACCACTCTGTTCTAGTTCTCTAATATAGGGAAGAGTGATTAGGGACCACTCTGTTCTAGTTCTCTAACGTAGGGAAGAGTGATTAGGGACCACTTTGTTCTAGTTCTCTAATGTAGGGAAGAGTGATTAGGGACCACTCTGTTCTAGTTCTCTAATGTAGGGAACAGTGATTAGGGACCACTCTGTTCTAGTTCTCTAATGTAGGGAATAGTGATTAGGGACCACTCTGTTCTAGTTCTCTAATGTAGGGAAGAGTGATTAGGGACCAGTCTCTGTATTAGTGTTACTTACAGTAGAGAGGGGAGACCTTTAGTAATTAAAGAGAAAGAGAGAGCTAAGAGAAAGAGAAAGAGAAAGAGAAAGAGAAAGAGAAAGTGGTGTATGCGTGGGCGTTACCTGCGTGCGAGTCTCCGGAGCTGCTCTGCACACTCGTGGTCAGATTTCTGCTGTACGAGCTCCAGGATGTTCATGGTTCGGTGAAAATGACCACAGGATAAACTCACACTGACCGCTGTTTCATGTTTATCGCCCGTCAGCACCCACACCTTAATCCCAGCCAGCCGCAGAGCCTCGATCGTCTCCTGCACCTTCTCCTGCAGCCTAAACACAAACACGAGAAATCATCCTAAGCTTTCACTTCACGAGTGAACAGAGAGCACAGCGTCACTGTTACTGACTACTAGTTTTTAACACTACTTGGGAACATTTTTTCCTTCTCCTGTAAAGTTACCATATAAGGTGTTTCCCTTACAGTGACAAAATGCATTAATTCAGCTGTAATATGAAGTTTCAGTTGTAGCCGAGTGCCTCATAACAACGGTAATTATCGAGGGTGCACTTATAAAAACTTAATCTAAAACCTACCTACATTCTTTCTTTGTATATATAGTTTGTTATTTTGTTATATGGACCTTCAGCCCACCACAAACCCTGCATGTGGCCGCACTGTAAATGGCCAAAGACAACTTCCTACATAGTGATCCAGTGATTAGATGCTATTAATAACAGTGTTCTATTTAGGGCTACAATGTAGGGAATAGTGACTAAGGATCATTCTGTCCCAATAACAGTGTTCTATGTGGTGTCACTGAGTCTTCACTGAGCTTACGGACCATCCGGACCATCCTATCCTCTATAAAAGTTTTCTATGTAGTTCTCCAATGTAGGGAATAGCGATTTGATTTCATCCTTTTCCAAAAATAATGTAGTTCTATGTAGTGCTCCAACGTAGGCAACAGTGATAAGAAACCATTCTGTCCCAATAACCGTGTTCTATGTAGTGCTCTAATGTAGTGAATAGTCATTACATGCCTTCAAGTCCCAATAATAGTGTTATATGCAGTGCTACAATGTAGGGAACAGTGATAAGAAACCATTCTGTCCCAATAACCGTGTTCTATGTAGTGCTCCAATATAGGGAATAGTGATTAAGGACCATTCTGTCCCAATAACAGTGTTCTATGTAGTGCTCCAATGTAGGGAATAGTGATTAAGGACCATACTGTCCCAATAACAGTGTTCTATGTAGTGCTCCAATGTAGGGAATAGTGATTAAGGACCATTCTGTCCCAATAACAGTGTTCTATGTAGTGCTCCAATGTAGGGAATAGTGATTAAGGACCATTCTGTCCCAATAACAGTGTTCTATGTAGTGCTCCAATGTAGGGAATAGTGATTAAGGACCATTCTGTCCCAATAACAGTGTTCTATGTAGTGCTCCAATGTAGTGAATAGTGATTAAGGACCATTCTGTCCCAATAACAGTGTTCCATGTAGTGCTCTAATGCAGGGAACAGTGATCAGATGTCATCCTGTTCCAATAATTATGTTCTATATAGTGCTCCAACATAGGGAACAGTGCTTAGGGACCACTCTGTTTTAGTGCTCCCATGAAGGGAATCCCTCCCAGGCTTTTTAAATCCTTAGGCTTATTATTCAGTAACTACATTGCTAACAGTTAATCTTTTTATATACTTATATATTTTATATTAATGGACGGGTTACTTAAGGGGTGAACACTGCCTCCAACACTGTGCACCCCAGCCACAAAGAGTCCCCGGATGCCACACGGAGGTAGAGGCGTGAACAGTTCTGCAGCAGGTGAGAGCAAACTGACGGGCAAACGAGAAAAAGAGAGAAATAGGGAAAACACATTGGAGATGAATGACTTCTCAATTTGCACAGAGCCTCTCTGAAGATGAAACACTGTGTGTGTGGTGTGCGTGTGGCGCTACTGCAGCGCCCAGCCTGCCACGGGGCAGAATTAACGAAGCGCAGAGCGAAGGCTCGGGCAGATGGCGTGAACTGGCTTCACAGTGTGCACAAACACAGACACACACAGCCGAAAACTAGCTCAATTTGATAGGCTGTAATAGAGCAGCTGTTCTGGAGCTGTGGGAGTGTACAGCAACGGGGTAACCAGACTTTCATTTCAGAGAGGAACTGAGTACAGACTGGGGGGCGGGGGCGCGAGAGGAAGCAATGTCCCAGAGACATTTCTATAGTGAGGATGACCACCACTAACTAGCCTTCTTCACTGTGGTTACCACAACCAGAGAAAAATAATTAGAATTTAAACACAGCACTCGGTTGCTGACCTCGTATTTACCTGCCTAGTTACTACAGAGAACTTGTAGAGAGGAGAATTACACTTGTAATATCTTCACGGTTTCTCAAATGCTAGAGGGCGCTCCCGAGCAAGTCCAAAATGAATGGGTTAGGACGGAGCATTTGAGCAAAATCATAGTTTATAAATGTTTAATCTTTATAAATGTAAAAGAATACATTCATATCCTGAACACAGAACAGGATAAAACATTTTAACACTGTTGTTATATTTTTTAAGAGCTTTTAAACTCGAGTTACAGGAGTTTAAAACGACACCTCGCGTACGTTCATGACATCAGTGAGCACAAACAGCCAATGAGCTGCTCTGCTCACCAACCAATCAGCACTCAGTAGCAGTAATGCCAGCGTCATGCTGCCCAAAACCCGTTTGTTGTAGAATAAAGGAAACATACAGGTTAGTTTTCTTTGCTTTTTTAGTGAAATCCATCCTTCTACTCTCTAAAATTAAAGGAAAGTTCTGGTTCAGTGATTAGAAACTATTTTAACTTTTCTTTTTTAGCCGTTTAGCTCCATTTACTCCCATTCATTGAGGACTCACTCGTGGGCGCCCTCTGCTGTTTTGCAGTCCTGTTTTCTGATTTAACGGGGGAAACAGGAAGTGGCCAGGCTCCTCATAAACTGGTTCTGGTTACCATCACAGCAGACAGTACACCACCACGCTCCGTTAAGCATTTCAGTGCTCACCATCAGCTAATTATCAAGGTGACAACTAATGAACAGGGATGGCCTGAATAACTGGAGTACTCAGTAAGTATTAGTTTGTTACGCTGGTATTCAGTTCTAAATTTAGTATTTGGAAGCTTAAATCACACTATTGTGCAACGTAACAAAAGAAGAAATATCGCCCCCTACACTTCCTGTAGTGTATTACAGTCTGTCAGAGTGACTGTGTGGATCATATGAACATTATAGAGGCTTTTTAAATGAAACAGTAGAAGCCATATCGCCCCCTACACTTCCTGTAATGTATTACAGTCTGTCAGAGTGACTGTGTGGATCATATGAACATTATAGAGCTTTTTAAATGAAACAGTAGAAGCCATATCGCCCCCTACACTTCCTGTAATGTATTACAGTCTGTCAGAGTGACTGTGTGGATCATATGAACATTATAGAGGCTTTTTAAATGAAACAGTAGAAGCCATATCGCCCCCTACACTTCCTGTAGTGTATTACAGTCTGTCAGAGTGACTGTGTGGATCATATGAACATTATAGAGCTTTTTAAATGAAACAGTAGAAGCCATATCGCCCCCTACACTTCCTGTAGTGTATTACAGTCTGTCAGAGTGACTGTGTGGATCATATGAACATTATAGAGGCTTTTTAAATGAAACAGTAGAAGCCATATCGCCCCCTACACTTCCTGTAGTGTATTACAGTCTGTCAGAGTGACTGTGTGGATCATATGAACATTTCACGTAAACATGCATTAAAACAAAAAATACTCATCAACATTTGTTCATAATCAATCGGTGCAGAGCTAGAACAGAGTGCTGACAGTGAGAAGGCCGCGTGCCGCTGAAGCCCTGCAGGACTGCGTTTTTCCAAAGTGAGGAATGTCTCTGTAAATCGTAACCGTGGTGGATTATGGATTTTGGAGTATGAAAGTGGTTCTCAGGCTGGACAGCAAGCCCGCGTCGCATAATTGCTTTAATGGTGCCTGACTCCACTTTGACCAAATCAAAGCGACAGGCTGATCAGTGCGATTACACACACCAAACTCGGGAGCTGAGCTGAGCCCGAACACCACAGAGACCTCCAGAGTCATCTGTGCGCCTATTTTACTATTTTAGGATCCTCACAGAGCCACTGTAGTGATACATCACACACTCAACACAGAGAGAGAGAGAGAGGGTAAGTGAGAAAGAGGAAACAGAGCGAGAGAGAGAGAGAGAGAGAGAGAGAGAGAGAGAGAGAGAGAGAGAGAGAGAGAGAGGGTAAGTGAGAAAGAGGAAACAGAGCGAGAGAGAGAGAGAGAGAAAAAATAGAGAAAAGAGAAAGAAGGAAAAGAGGGTGTGTGAGGAAGAGGAAATTAAAAAAAGAAAGGTGTTGATGATGGGGTGATAAACAACAGGAGAGAGAGCGATACAGAGCGAGAGAAAGAGAGAAATCGAGAGAGGGAGAAATAGGTAGAGTGTGTAAGTGAGAGAGAGAGAAAGAGCCTAATGTAGCTAACAAGCAATGGAAGCTTACACCCCACCTGATTAGCATGGTGCTAACTGCATATCTGAAACATTCTCAGTTGCTGATGCTGATTATGTGGTTTGTGACACTGTGTGACTCACTGGTATCTATAAACATGGACTGAAGTACATTAGCACAGCTAAACACAGCAGCAGGAGCTTCAAAGAGCTTATGTTACACATTTGTCTTGTATTTTAATTTTTCTCTCTGAGGTCTTCTAATGATATTTGTGTTTCTGTGCCAAAAAGTCATACTTCACTTTCACATCATCACTCTCGATCCTCTCTTCATCACTTAGAATTAAACATGCTATTTAGTTACTGTGCTTTAAGACTGATTTATCTTCGCTTTTACCTCCATTTTTGCTATTTTTCATTATTCTGCATCATTCCCATTTCTTAGATATCTCAAACATGCTGCTACTGAGGTCTCATTTTGGCCGAATATCAGGAGAGCATCGGATGTTTCCTCAGCCGCTGAGGCAATCCCACGATGCAGCACGGGGCAGCTTTTGTTTGAAGATGGTGGGCAGAAGCGCTTCACCAAGCAGCGACGTCATCTTCAAATGTGAGTTATTCTGATTTTCTGGGGTATTTATCTGTTTTCTAGTCATAAAGGTGCACAAATAGCCAATACTTTCCGCATTTGACCACAACTATTGTCTATTTTGCTGTTTCATTCAGAGCAAATACAGTTAAAATCGCTATATAAGCTGCCAGAGCAGATCCATATTGGCTAAATGTGATTCTGACGGCTGAGGTCAGTAAACGCCGGTCTCGTGCAGTGGGCGGGAACAAGCGGCGACGTCACTGCTGTCTAACTAGAGCGTCTCATTTATCTGCCTTATAAGGACAGATGACGGTTGGAATGCTGCCCACTTAGACAGCTGCCTAGGTGGACAGCGGCTACTTAGAGTGCTCACTAGGTTTTGAGACACACCAAAAATTTCATGATAAACCAATAGAAACGGTCCAAAATGACTTGGACCAAAATTACTCTGTAGTTTTTGGCCGTATCGTGCTTCACATAAACAACAGCCCTGTCTGGCACACTCCTTATAACTTCGGCACGAGTGGTGCAGCACTAAACTGCTGTAGGCTGAATATATATATGTATATACATGTACATTGGTTGTTTTCTTGATACAGTGTCTTTAAGACTGATATATGTAAATAATCTCGGTTCTGCGGTTCTGATTGGCTGCCTGCAGTCCAGCCTGGGACACTCCTAATAACTTCAGAAACTGTAAATCAGATGTTGTACTGAACTATTCCTTCATCAGGAGCTCGGTGTGCTGTGTGAGCCGGACACAGCTGAAGCTCAGTGTACACTCCGGTGCCCCTGTGCAGGTTGACTCACTTGTCTTCCACGCCGGTGGCTCCCAGCAGCTCCAGGTCTTTCTCGATGAAGCTGAAAGTCTCGGCCAGCCGCTCCTCTCTCTGCTGCAGGGCCGTGCGAGCCTCGTGGATCCGCCGCTCCACCTCCTTATACTCCTCTGCGCTGAAGAGCCTGTAGGCCACCACCAGCGTCCGCAGACCTTTCTGAGAACAGAACAGCAAAACCTTCGGTTTAGGCAGGTAGGTTTCATCGTTGCTCTCAGAGAGGATATTTTATGTCTCAAGAACATCATAAAAATGTCCACAGGGCATTCATAACCACCTGTGCCTTTATCGCAGACTGTCCACACAAGCAGGGCATGATCTGACCGGCTGCTGATCAAAATGGACCAGTTCTTATTTGAAATGGTATCTGCAGTCCAATTTTTATTAAAATGGTTTGATCGTCTGTAAACTGGCTGATTATAATTCGATTTTTATTCTGTGTCTCTAAACTGGACAGTTTATCTTCAAAATAGTTTGACTTGCAATGTCGATTTATTTTTAAATGGTTCAGTTTGCATTTTATATTCGAAACAGTTTCCAGTCTTGATTTTTATTCAAAATAGTTCAATTTCCAGTCTTGATTTTTTCGAAATAGTTGAATTTGCAGTCTCTATTTACATTTGAAGTCAGATTTTTAGTCTAGATTTTACTTTGAAAGTTTAATTTACAGTCTCTACTTTTATTCAAATACTTCAATTTGCAGTCCTGATTTTTTTTTATAAATGGTTCGATATTTTTTTCCCCGAAATGGACTAAACCATTTTTCTAAAATAGCCAGTTTTTATTCAGAAGGCTTCAATCAGCAGTCTCTAAATGGGTGATGAAATAATTATTTGAAATTTGGATGTAGAAAAATCAGAATCGGTCGTAAAATGTATGACTATTTAAGACAGCTGTGTCCTATAAACACTGCATGATGTCTAAGCAGACATTAATTTAAAAAAACTGGAACTGAAACAAACATGGGTGTTTCTTCAGCCATGCTTTCAGTCACATGAAACCACTCATCACTGTGATGAAAATTGTGAAGAATTCAACTCCATTACTGAGAATGTAGTTTATGCAGTTTAGAGACAAAAACGCACCATTCAGTCAGGAACAACCTCCCTACATCACTGACATCTGATCAGTATCAGTATTGTGTTTGAGTCACTCCTCCTCTTATGCATCATCTCAGAGGGAGGTTTAAACATGTGACACGCAGGCTGTGGGTGATAAACACTACCGCCTGTTTCACGGGTGTGGCCTTCAGCACAGCCGGACTGATAAGAACGAGCGTTTCATTCAGAGATTTTAGGCTTGCTGGTTCCACCACAGTGTTAACAGCTTGACACGTCTCTCACATTTTGATTAATTGTTTCTGACTCATAGCTCACTGAAACGAGTGGAGAAATCGTGAGCAAAGTGCAGAGTCTAAACTTTCAATCCGTACCACATCCATACACGTAGGCAGAGGAGGAGATTCTATTTTATATATAAATGTGCTGTTGTGTATACAGTGTGCAGATTCAAATCTGTCTACATTGAACATGAATCAAATATTAATATAATGTAATTATATTTCAATTACTTAATTATGCAATTACATGTATATACTTAGACAATGTAAATCAAACGTATAACCAAACAACAATGACAACTTTTAAAGCTCCAACAGACATATTACGCATAAAATTTTTTACGTAGTATTATACAACAGTTAGTTCCAGCCACGCTAGCTTACTGATTGAGAAGCGTTCAGTTTTTTTCACAAACACAGTATGACTCTACTGAGACGCCATTGCTAAGCAACGACTTTGACAGCTGTAGGAGACGCTCAAGACATTTAAACCACAAACAGAAAATGGACACTTTTAAGATCACATTTGACCGACAGCCGATTTGGTCAGACTCTGAAGATGAGACGACACTAAATTCCCAAACTGTCGTCACCACTGAGCAGCTTTTCAGTCGGCAGCTGTGACAGAAGAACAGCTAAACAACCTGGAATCAGCCAGAAATGAACCCAACACCATTCGCCAAACTAAACGGGCTGTAAGATGCTTTACAGACTGGCTGGAACAAAACAACATTAATACTGATCTGGCAAAAACTGACAAAACTGAGCTGAACTTGATATTGCGGCAGTTTTATGGCTCAGTCTGATTTGGTCAGACTTTGAAGATCAGACTACACGTTTAGCGAATGGTATTGGGTTCATTTCTGGCTGATTCCAGGTTGTTCAGCTGTTCTTCTGTCACAGCTGCCAACTGAAAAGCTGCTCAGTGGTGATGACAGTTTGGGAATTTAGTGTGAGGAGCTGGAGAACGAACTGCCGGCTGTGCAGCGAGTGGGCGGAGCTCGTTACTCTGACGTAGCAACAAGCTGCTTGTTAAGGAAACTATAATTTGGTGAAGGAACTGCGAACATTAAAACATATTAAACGCCAGTTTATTAACTTCTTACTTTATTTATTTAACTGCTGTATAAAAGCAATACAGCTCATATTCACAGTCAGTGACTTATCTAGAACTTCCAGAAGGACTAGAATGATATTTTCCCCTCACCAAATTGGTCTCACTATAAATCAAAGCATGACTGGTTGTTTCTTCTGTCACCTTCTAATTAGATAGATGATCTAACACCTAAGGCCTTCTGTCCAGCTCCTGAAGTCCTAACCAATGCTCGCTTAGCTGTATCTACCTAGATACCAATCCTGATTGGACAAGTTTCTGTTGGGTGTTTTAAGATTTTGACTCGTTTCCAACCAAAAGTTAACAATGTAAAGAAGAGTATTACTGAAATACCTGCACAGTTTAAATACAACAAGCATGCCCACTCTATTAAAGTAAACTAAAACTACAGAAATAAAGTTTTTAGTGCCCTGAAATTTTCTGGCATTCTCTGAAAACCGTAATTTACTTTAGCATTACAGCCCTACAGCCCACAGTGCAGACGCCACAGAGCCTCTTACCAAAGCAAACTCGTCCACATGCACCCTCGTCTTCTCTATTTCTCCACTCTTTGTGTAGGGAAGAATTGCAGACTCAGCTCCTTTAGTGAATAATATCCTCTCCCCTGAAACACACAAAACAGCCAATCCTTTACGAGCAATGCAATGGTGGTCAGTGAACTCCATCTGTTTCATCAGGGTCATTAGTGAGAATTGATCAAATATCTTTTGCTTTTATCAATTAGTAAAAATCGATGAGCTCATACAAAATGTAGGTTTCATGCTGACTTCTGTTTTATATTCTACGTGACATACATGAGTCCATGTTTATAGATACCAGTGATCCCTACAGTGTCAGAGACCTCATAATCAAGTCTATTAGAGATACTGAACAACACACGGTTTGAGGTAAACGTGAGAATGCAGACATGCAGTTAGCACAGTGCTGAATAAGCTTCTATTGCTTGTTAGCTACATTAACCTCGTAGCTCCAGTGCTAAAACGAAAGGAACAACTTCAGACATCAAACGTCCTCATTTGGGAGAAGAGAGGAAACTGGGGTCATTTGATCTTTTGTTAAACTATCACTTTAATGCAGAGTGTTGAAGGGGAATTCCACCAATTTCTCAAAACATCTGCATAATGTCATAAGTGAGATGTAAACAAAGTCATTCAGAGCGGTTTGGTGTGAAACGGTTCAACGTATCAACTTTTATTCACAAAACCCCCAGTGAACTTACACATGTCTGAGTTTTTATATGGAACGTTGAGGAGAGTAAAACAGTGGAAAATCTGAAATAATACTAAGTTTTCTTTTGGGACTATTTTGCCTCACAGCGTCCTGCACACACAAAGAAAATAGTTTCCAAAAGTTACCATAATCTTTTAAAAACTATCATAAAACAGAGAGTGTGTTTACACGCACTCAATAATCTGATCATAATCGGATTTCTGCAGTTATCTGATTATTCAAATGGTCGTGTAAACAGCACACTCTGATTTCTTAGATCAGAGGAAGGTCTAGATAATCGACTAAGAAATCTGATAAAGAGGCTGGGTTTTAGCTCAGTAATCAGATACTTACTCTGATTTCTTTCGGATTTCTCAGTCTGCACATGTGCAAAACAGACCGCGGGACCGGAAATAAGCGAGCAGCGTTGCCACGAGATGCAGCAAAACACTTCTGGAGCGGCGCTGAAACCGAACACATGCTTGACGAAATGAAGGATTTAAATATCCTTCATCTTCTAGATGATGTATGTTTATACTTTCAGGTAAAGCGGCGCAATGTTTTTTTTAAAAAAAGCAGCGGCATTAAGTTTTAGTTTTGCGTTACGTTTAAGTCACGTCTTCTTCTGAGTTTACTGGCTGGTTGCAAAGCAGAAATCTGATTACTGTCTGACTCATGTAGACGCAGAGTTTCCCCATTATCTGATTACTCACGTGCATGTAAAGACTTCGATCTGATTACTGACAAAACCTGATTTTCTGCAGTTATCGGATTATTAAGCTCATGTAAAAGCACTCAATGTCTCCAACATCAGGCAGTGAATTCAGAACCATTTCATGTAATAACTCTCTGTGGACGTCTGGTTCCTATTACCACCACTGTGCACAATTCTGACTCAGTAAGTTTCTCTACAACAGAGCATTTCACACCAAACCACTCTGAATGCAGAAATTTTGAAAAACCACTTATTTCCTAGCACATACCTGACGGAGCCTGCAGTATTACACTCATTCGCCTTCGATTCGGATCAAACTCCAGCACATGAAGGAGTTTATATCTGTGAGGAAAGTTAAAGAAGTACATTTAATCTCATAAGCACATGTAGTTATATCCAGAGTTTACTGCCTTCCCCTAAAAAATAACCTTAAACTCGTCTCACTTTTCTGATTTCCCAAAGGTTTTGATCTCCATGTTTTCACCGTTGCTTCCTATGAATGTCACTCCCATCCTGCAAAAACATTTCACACAGATTAAATGATTAAATCGGCGTCAGGTTCAACATTTTACATAAAACTATTCGCTCAGTATGATGAGTGATCTTCTGGCTGCAGCACGTCTCTTCAGTGTCGCCTGCTGATACGATGCTATGCAGAAAGATGTGTGTTTACGCTCTGCAGTGCGTGGGCAGATCTGCTTTACCTCTTGGTGGCTTCCACCAGGGCCTTCTCGTCAGGAGAGGAGGCGTAATACTCCATCTGAGTGGTGAATCCATTGGCGTGGGAGAAGGGCTCCCCCGGGCCGTCTGTCTGGTCGTAGCTGATCTGCACCGTGTGGCACAGAGACACGGCTTTCAGGAACAGCTCCTCTTCCCTGCTCTGTAACAGACAGACAGATATATTTTAAACATTAACCCCTTAAATTCCCAGAAGAAATACATCCTGACCCTTTGTGTCCACTGCACACAAAACCCTGCTCACATTTATTTTCATTAGAGAGCAGTGAAAAATGCAGGAAGGACCACAGGTTAACTTTGCTAGTGGCACGACTATATCAAATTATGAGCGGCAGCCGTGTGGCTCTGACCAAATGGGCAAACTTTCCAATGTCTTTTTGTTTAACGGTGCAGCTTATTTAGAGGATTTAATCTCTGCATTTCTAGGAGAGTAGACACTATATGGACAAAAGTATTGGGACACCTACGTGAGCTTGACATCCCGTATTAAATCCATAGGCATTAATATGGAGTTGGTTGCCCTTTGCAGCTACAACAGCTTCCACTCTTCTGGGAAGCTTCTACAAGATGTTGGAGAGTCTGTGGAAATTTGTGTCCGTTCATCCAGAAGAGCATTTGTAAGGTCAAACACTGATGTTGGACGAGAGGGTCTGGCTCACAATCTCCGTTCCAGATCATCCCAAAGGTGTTGGATGGGGTTGAGGTCACGGCTCTGTGAGGGTCAGTCAAACTGACCCAGTCAGGCCTTTATGGAGCTGCTTTGTGCACTGGGGCTCAGTCATGCTGGAACAGGAAAGGTTCGTCCCCAAACTGTTCCCACAAAGTTGGAAGTGTACAACTGTCCAGAATGTCTTGGTGCTGAAGCTTTAAGGTTTCCCTTCACTGGAACTAAGGGTTCTAGATCAACCCCTGAAAAACAGCCCCATAGCATCATCCCTCCTCCACCAAACTCTACAGCTGGCACAGTGCAGTCAGGCAGGTAACGTTCTCCTGGCATTCGCCAAACCCAGACTCGTCCATCAGACTGACAGATAGAGAAGCTGATTCGTCACTCCACAGAACACGTTTCCACTGCTCCAGAGTCCAGTGGCGGCGCTTTACACCACTCCATCCGACGCTTGGCATTGTGCTGGGTGATATAAGGCTTGCATACAGCTGCTCAGCCATGGAAACCCTACCATGAAGCTCCTGCTCAGTTTCAGTGCTGATGTTGATGCCACAGGAGGTTTGAACTCTGCAGTTATTGATCAGCAGAGCGTTGGTGACTTTCACGCTCTATGCTCCTCAGAACTCGGCGACCTGCTCTGTAACTTCACGTGACCTGACACTTCGTGTCTGAGTTGCTCTGATTCCTAAACACTTCCGCTTTCCAATAATACCACTCACAGTTGATCATGGAAAATCTAGGAGGGAAGAAATTTCACGAACTGACGTGCTTCAACGGTGGCATCTTATTACAGCACCACGCTTGGATTCAGTGAGCTCTTCAGAACGACCCACTCTTTCACTAAAGTGTGTAAAGGCAGACTGCTTGGCTAGCTGCTTGATTTTATAAACCTGTGGCAATGAGACTGAATGAAACACCTGAATTCAACGATTAACAGGTGTGTCCCAATACTTTTGCCCAGTTCAAACATTACACCCCTGGAGAATACTGCATCTGTTTCATTTGTGTTCCTGTTTGTATGAAAAAATATCTACCCATACGAGCGACGCAAACAAAACAAAACGAGAAACAAATGAAGCAATGCTGATTCTCTGTGATTTCCACAGCTCTCTCTCAGTCTTACCAGCCGAGGAACAGCAGCGTCTGGTGTGTCGTCTGTCATTCCCTCGGGGACGAGCTTGCCGTTGATCTCCTGATATTTGATGCCGTTGATGGAGCATTCCCGGAACTGCATCTCGTTCTCAGTCAAAGTGCCTGTTTTGTCAGTAAAAACGTACTCCACCTGGACCACGACATTACAGAGGGCCTTTGTTAGTTCTCTCATGGTGTTCATGCCTTGAAATGTATTTTCTTATATTTTGTTCAATTATTTCTGACTTGTAGTCCATTGAAATAAGTGGAGAAAGTGTGTGGAAAGTGTAGGTTCTAAACTTTCAATGTATACCACATTAGAGTTTACAGGTGGAAGAGGAGATACTGATGAAGTTATATGACAGATGATAATTATGAATTTAATGAAATGTTACTGTTGAGTGTGCAGTCTTATTTTGCAGAAAAAAGATTGTTATATATATATATATATATATATATATATATATATATATATACATACACACACACACACATACATACATATATATAGTTAGGACTCCCCCAATCACACGATACTATCAACGCTAGGAAGGCGAAGGCAGCACAGGCTTTCTCTGAGACCTGTGTAGCTCCACCGCTTCTTTTCGAGCTGCCGCTCACGCTACGTCATTGGACAGCTGAACGCGCTCAGAGGAAAGCGCCAACCGCCAGATCTGCTACGTCAGCTAACAGACGCCTGAGCTGACTAGCATCGCGTCAAGTGATGTGGGGAGAAGGGGGCCTACCCACCCAGAGAGAGCGAGGCCAGTTGTGCTCTCTCGGACTCCCGGCTACGGACGGCTGTAGCATCACCAGGGATCGAACTCGCGATCTCCTGATGATAGGGCCAACGCTTAGACGGTTGCGCCACTCGGGAGCCCAGATTGTTTATATTTTAACATGCTTACAAACAGAAAAAGTCAGATATGTTTGCAAATACAGAATGCAAACTGAATATAAATGCAATTTGTTAACTATAAATTAATCAGAAAACTATATAACAGTATATAAATTTGAAAAACTTTCGGTGATGGTAAAGGAAATGATGAACATACTGGTGTTGCATAAAACCCTACACTGTGTGGCTAATTTGCTCTGGCCATCACTATAGTCCAGGGGCCGATAAGATAAACCCCAGAGCGCCTTAACTTCTGTTTTAATCATCTGTTTCTATTGTTTTATGCAGTGATGGGCAGCACAGTCACGGAAAAGTGACCAGGTGGACTCCATACGCATGACCAAAAACATTTCTGAATATTCGGTGTGGTGGGATTGTAATTTTCATCGCTTTTACAACTCAAATACTATTCAGAAACCCTGATGTAAATCGTTTAGTTTCAGACACAAAAACACTTAAATATGTACACCCACCTGACCCAGCTCCTCATTGAGGTCCGAGGTGTTGACCTGGGCTCTTTGGTCACTCTCCTCATGGTACAAGTCCAGGTCCAAACCGATGAAGAATGAGCCCAGGAACTTCTGCATCTCCACAGTAACGTAGAGGGAAATGGGGATGATGAAGTTATACAGAACCAGGAAGGCCAAGAAATCCGAGATGAACTTCAGAATCTGTGAAAACGACACACACACACACACACACACACACACACACACACACACACACACGCTTTAGGCCGCTTCAAACAAACGCGAGGTGAAGTGTGAAGCCTGCAGATTTAACTCTGAGTGACAGCAGGCAGGGGGCAGCCAGACAGCCCACCCATGCACAGGACACTTTTCACCTTACAGCTCTCTGTCAAAATATTTGCAGTTAAATTCGCAGCTCTAACGCAGAAACAGAGTGTGATGAGCAGCTGATGAGCACAACAGAGAAAAACTGAACAGGCTTAGCGTAGTTCATATTTTAAAGGGCACTGCATTACAGAAATGCTATAAAGAAAGGCACTGTATTCCAGAAATGCTATAAAGAAAGGCACTGGATTCCAGAAATACTATTAGGAAGGGCAGTGCATTCCAGAAATACTATTAGGAAGGGCAGTGCATTCCAGAAATGCTATAAGGAAAGGCACTACATTACAGAAATGCTATAAGGAAGGGCACTGCATTCCAGAAATACTATTAGGAAAGGCAGTGCATTCCAGAAATACTATTAGGAAAGGCAGTGCATTCCAGAAATACTATTAGGAAAGGCAGTGCATTCCAGAAATACTATTAGGAAGGGCAGTGCATTCCAGAAATGCTATTAGGAAAGGCAGTGCATTCCAGAAATACTATTAGGAAGGGCAGTGCATTCCAGAAATGCTATAAGGAAGGGCACTACATTACAGAAATGCTATAAGGAAGGGCACTACATTACAGAAATGCTATAAGGAAGGGCACTGCATTCCAGAAATACTATTAGGAAGGGCAGTGCATTCCAGAAATGCTATAAGGAAGGGCACTACATTCCAGAAATGCTATAAGGAAGGGCACTACATTACAGAAATGCTATAAGGAAGGGCACTACATTACAGAAATGCTATAAGGAAGGGCACTACATTACAGAAATGCTATAAGGAAGGGCACTGCATTCCAGAAATACTATTAGGAAGGGCAGTGCATTCCAGAAATGCTATAAGGAAGGGCACTACATTACAGAAATGCTATAAGGAAGGGCACTACATTACAGAAATGCTATAAGGAAGGGCAGTGCATTCCAGAAATCTTATTAGGAAGGGCACTGCATTCCAGAAATATTAAAAGGATGGGTACTGCATTCCAGAAATGTAATAGGAGTGGGCACTGCATTTCCGAAATGTTACAAGGATGGCCACTGCATTGTAGAAATGATATAGGGGTGAGCGCTGCATTCCAGAAATGTTAAAGGGATGGGTAATGCATTCCCAAAATGTTATAGGGGTGGGCACTGCATTCCCTTAATTTTATGGGGGGAGGGATGGCATTTTAGAAATGTTATAGAGGCGGGCAACTGTATTCCCGTAATGTTATAAGGGTGGGCACCGCATTCTAGAAATGTCATAGAGCTGAGCACTGTAGAAATGTCATAGGGTTTTGCATTGTAGAAATGTTATAAAGGTGGACATTCCAGGTATGTTACTGTTATATAAACATCCATGCTTTTACAGAAACAGTATTTGAATATTCAAATGAGATTTTTTTTCCAGTTTTTACGGACCAAAAACAAAAGCAGGTTTATTGATTAAATAGGTATATATGACTCTCAAGACAGAACAACTAAGTTGTTATATGCTTTAATTCAATACGCAATTAAGTACACAAATACTTAGATGAGATATCTGCACATTTGAATAATCATGTCCATCACTAGAACGCTACAGACAAATACAAGATATTTACAGCCGTAATATATGTTATATATAATGTGGAAAATCAAATGAGCCTCCAAAATCCAGGCACTCTTGCTAGCAACATCTGCTATCTGGGAGATGCTGTTTAATTTGCTTTTTCAGGAATCTATACGTTTTCCACATATTGCACCTATAAGTCCACATTTATCAATTTGTCTTCAAGGACCCATTTATAACATTTCCTGTAACATCACAGAATGAAAGCATTCAAAGCTGTTTTTGCAGTTTAGTTTCCATATATTAATTGCAGAGAGAACAATGTATTTTAAAACATACACAAAAACTCTTTATTTTAAAGTAAGGAAGAATCAGTTTTCCATGATATGGGCCCTTAAACCTTAGCAGGAGAGGTAGAGGATTGTGCTGTGCTTCAAATACACCTGTGCACCAGCGTGAACGCACTCTTACCTTGCTGCTGTTGCGTTCCTGCTCAGTTTTCTCATTGTAGAAAGGCTCGTCCCACTTGTTCTCCGCCTGCCAGGCATACTTTAATATGGTGCTGAGGATGGCCTCGAAAAGCAGGATCCCCAAGTAGATGATGAGAAACGTATTCATGGACCTGAGAGGCGGGACAGAGAGAAAAAGATTATGGTCATTACAGAGCAAAATGACTGAGCGGACCAAAAAAGCACAACATTTTTCATTCAAAAGCAGAGAAAGATGTGGAAGCTCACGCACTTCTCCACAGCTGAACGCTTCTGGGACTTGCACTTGTAGTTTAGAGCCATCTTTGATTCCATGCCTGTGTACACGGCCACACCTGAGTCAGACAGAACACAAACAGTATATTAAAAGGCCCAACTCATGAATTCGAGTATATATATTGTGATATAAACTGAGTCTGTTCTACAGTTTCTCATTAGGCTGAATGAATAACCCACTCTAAATGTAGGTATTGTGATATAAACTGAGTCTGTTCTACAGTTTCTCATTAGGCTGAATGAATAACCCACTCTAAATGTAGGTATTGTGATATAAACTGAGTCTGTTCTACAGTTTCTCATTAGGCTGAATGAATAACCCACTCTAAATGTAGGTATTGTGATATAAACCGAGTATGTTCTACAGTTTCTCATTAGGTTGAATGAATAACCGACTCTAAATGTAGGTATTGTGATATAAACTGAGTCTGTTCTACAGTTTCTCATTAGGTTGAATGAATAACCCACTCTAAATGTAGGTATTGTGATATAAACCGAGTCTGTTCTACAGTTTCTCATTAGGCTGAATGAATAACCCACTCTAAATGTAGGTATTGTGATATAAACTGAGTCTGTTCTACAGTTTCTCATTAGGCTGAATGAATAACCGACTCTAAATGTAGGTATTGTGATATAAACTGAGTCTGTTCTACAGTTTCTCATTAGGCTGAATGAATAACCGACTCTAAATGTAGGTATTGTGATATGAACTGAGTCTGTTCTACAGTTTCTCATTAGGCTGAATGAATAACTGACTCTAAATGTAGGTATTGTGATATGAACTGAGTCTGTTCTACAGTTTCTCATTAGGCTGAATGAATAACTGACTCTAAATGTAGGTATTGTGATATAAACTGAGTCTGTTCTACAGTTTCTCATTAGGCTGAATGAATAACCCACTCTAAATGTAGGTATTGTGATATAAACCGAGTCTGTTCTACAGTTTCTCATTAGGTTGAATGAATAACTGACTCTAAATGTAGGTATTGTGATATAAACTGAGTCTGTTCTACAGTTTCTCATTAGGCTGAATGAATAACCGACTCTAAATGTAGGTATTGTGATATAAACTGAGTCTGTTCTACAGTTTCTCATTAGGCTGAATGAATAACCGACTCTAAATGTAGGTATTGTGATATAAACTGAGTCTGTTCTACAGTTTCTCATTAGGCTGAATGAATAACTGACTCTAAATGTAGGTATTGTGATATAAACTCAGTCTGTTCTACACTTTCTCATTAGGCTGAATGAATTACTGGCTCTAATTGTAGGTATTATGATCCCTACCCAGTCATGACCAAGTCATGTTCCATGGTTTCTCATCAGGTTAAATGGGATTTTTACCAGTGTTCTGTAAAGCCTGTCCAACCTCAAAACAGTGGCTATGAAAGAAAACAGCTGGAGACTGAGCCTGGTCTGGTAAGTGAAGCCAGAATGACAGTATATGTTTAAAAAATATCAGTAACACTAAAACATACCAAATATTTCTTTGGTGTTTTTCAATCTTGCTCCTCGAAGCAGAAGGTTTTCTGGTCCTAGAGGTCTGAAAGGGACATAAAAAAATGGTCAACTACTCTACCTACATAAAACATGTCCTAATTATTTAACATTGAGTGAGAACAAAACAAAGGTTTCAAATAAGTTCAGATCTCAGTTGTCTCCACACTTACCTCACAATCTCCTCCCCTTGCTGTGTGACTGTTATTCTCCCAACGAACCTGTGAGAGGGAGACAGTTACGCTGAGTAAAGCAAAAACACAGAATAAGAGTCATAGCTGCCACCAGTCTGGCTTATTCTATGAAAACACCCTTAAATGAGCTGAAGTATGTGTGTAATAAATATTCTGGAGTGAAGAGTGTTACAGTGCAGCACACTCAGCTGGTTCTGTCATTAGAGGGTATAAATATGCCCCAATGCATCTGAGGGTTTAGTTGGAAAAATGGTAGAAAGATGTGTCTTCAAGGGTTCTTTTATAAAGAAAATGGAACCACAAACACTTAAAGAACCCTTTGCATGATTAAAGGGTTTTTTGCATCATGAAGCCTTTCTCCAGCAATCTGAACCCTTTGCAAGGGTTCTTCAGATTGCTGGAGAACGTGCTGTAGATGGTTCTATAGAGAACCTTTTTGAAAATGGTTCTATGTAGCGTCTCGGAGGAAGCCTGTGCTAGCCTTCGCCCTCCTAGCGCTGGTGGTATTGTGTGACTGGGGGAGTCCTAACTAGCAGGTGGTATTGGATACGACTAAATTGGGGAGAGAATTTGGGAAAAATCAAAAATACAAATAAAAAAATTGAGATTTCATAATGAATTTAATCGTTTTCTGAAGAACTGTAATAGAATCGAATAGTACTGGGGAGTGAATAAAGGCCTCACGACTCATCGGTCTAAAGGTACTACATTCATTCTTAAATGTCAGAACTGATTATAACAGTATGTAATGCAGTATGCATGTTCAAAATAAAACTCTTCAGCTATTCTTAATCAAATCGTTCCATTATCAAATTTACACCTCTGTTAGGTACCTGTACAAATCTGCTTCTGGCTGCTGGCACTCCACCACGGCCTGTAGAGCCTCCAGCTGGGACACGGATTGGGACACAGCCGTCTCTGGGACTGCATAGTGAGTCTGTACACAAAAAAACAGAGCATCAGTGCTGCAGTGCTGGGCAATACGTTGCCCATACCGCTGTATTAGAACAGATACAGACTTTCAGTTTTAGTTTTCTGCTGTAGCAGAAATCCACTGTGTAAGCTTTCCTTCGGGGTCATTTTAAGAAAAGAAAACAGACCAAATCAGCCCAGTCAAAACAAGAACCGTCAGATTTAACAAGGTTTTTTAAGTATAGACTGTGACCGAAACTGAGGGCAGCTGTTTCGATGCCTTGCTGCCTGTGCTGCCTCACAAGTCAATGCCTTAGAATGCCGCAGTACGTCATAACGCTGCCAAGATAAAGACAGCAGTCAGCATTTAGCTAAGTTTGCTTTAAAACCCAGTGTCTTTTACTCAGAAAAAATATTTTAAGGAGGCCAGCATACTGAACCTTATAACAAAAACTTGTGTCTCCATTTTTCAGTTTTTGGCATGATTTGAAAATGCCTGTTGTCCTTCACATTGTGTGTACATTTCATGATAAATGGACCAAAACAAATGGCTCAAAATGACTTGGAAAGAAGTCTGGCTCCATCATTCCAAGACAGCAGTCAGCATTTAGCTGAGTTTGCTTTAAAACCAGTGTCTTTTACTCAGTAAAATGTCTTTTAAGAAGGCCAGCATACTGAACTTTTTAATAACCAAAATGTGGTATTTCACATAAACATTAATCTCCAAAAAGACACCAAAGCTTCACTGAGTTTATTGGCTAGGCTACCTTAGCATTAGCTTACCTTAGTTTAAGTTAGCCTACATTAGCAAATGGACACTTGCAGCAGAGCATAAATAATTATTATTTAATAATACAGGGTGCCTGCTGTACCTGTCCTAAAATGACAAAATAGAAATAAGAAAATTACAAAAACAGTAGCTGTTTAGCTAAGACTAGCACAATTTCGCACTTTTCTCCTATCTACATCGATGCTAACACACAGGATTATGGGAAATGTAGGCAGCGTTTTATTCATGCTAATTTAAACATCATCTGATACTGTAATGTATTCTGAAAATACTAAAATATTGACTTTTTTTAGTATCACCCAATAATTCCTGCTCAGAATAGTCACTATTGGCACAGACAAAATGTGTTAAATCATGTTCTTTACATTCCAAAACAAACGTGACGACATTGTTGAGAAATTACCTTATTAAATGAGAAGAGTCTATTCAACAATAGAAACTGCTTCATTTAATAAAAACACAAATAATGACTTTTTAATAAAGCACTTCTCATAGTGGTGGCAGCTCAGTGTGCTTTACAAACAGGTGGTAAAGTAACATATCGCTGCTGTCGGAACAAAACCTTGTTTTTCAGTTTTTGGCATAATTTGAAAATGCCTGTTTCCCTTTATACTGTGTGTACATTTCATGATAAATGGACCAAAGCAAATGGTCCAAAATGACTTGGAAAGAAGTCTGGTTCCATTGACTTACATTAAAAGTAAAGCATGTTTACCATTTTGGAGATACGTGGTTTTGTTCTGACAGCAGCAAAATTAAACTAAAGGTGAGTCTAATTATCTTCTGCTATAGTTCTTGTTTGGTAACAGGAACTATAATTAGAAACTAAAATAAATAAAATGATAAGAGTATTAATTTAAAATCACAAGCGATGAAACAAATCAAATAAAAATGATATAAAAAAAGAGACAGAATTTTAATTAACAGCTAAATTAAAGAGACGTGTTTATTAAACGTGAGCACAGAGCTTGACTGTCTAAGAAAAGGGGGAATTAAACTCCACGGTTTTGAAGCAGAATAACAGAAAGAGTCTGTCCACGACATTAAAGGGTTAAAAACTAACACCAGAGCCGTCTTGCTACTCCATTAGCACCGGGTAGTGAAGAGCAACGAGAACCTGCATTCACAGTACAGTGACGGTTCGCACTAGCTTGGCAGGCTGTGTCATCTTTTCAAGCATTAGAGTCACAGACCAGTTCATCCTTTTCCTACACAGAGTAAAGACATCACAGTCATGTTTAGTGTCTGAAGTCTGCTTATTTAGGTCCAGTCCCATTTCTTATTTTTACCCCTACCCCTTGTTTTCAAGTGTTGCCACTTGGAACCAAGCTATAAGGGGTAATGGTTGAAATCTTCCCTCTGAAAAGGGACCCTCAAATAAA